TGAGCTTTTTACTTCGGTCTGTTTCCCCATTTGAGATGATTTTGCCTGGTGAGACAGATCACAGGACAATAAACACAACAGGGATTTTGTGCTGTTTGTCAACTTACATGAGTTTTACTGAACTGCGTTTCAGAGGCCTGTGCTACGAAGCAGGTTCAACAGAGTCAGGATATCTTTTTGTTATCCAGCTTCAGTAAACCTAACAAACACAGTGACACTTAGCGGCCATGTAATGCTGGTTATCAACTCATGAAGTCAAACCAGAGTCTCTAAATCAAACTATGAGTGTATACATCTATAGAAGGGGTGATGTGGTGACAGGTTTAGAGTAGTTTACATATCACAAGAAGAACAAACCATAATCCCAAACCAGTATGAGGAATTACAATAGAAGCCAAAAGCATGACAGCTGCAGCAGCCAAAGCAAGAAAGACTGTGAAAATATTGACTGTGTGAACGCGACGTGAACAGGCTTATCGGTTTCACTGCCTCATCATTAAGGCACAAGTACATCTGTTTACAATGGTGGGGCCTGTTCTTCTGTTCTACTGGTGCGTAAGTCAATCTAAGACTTATTCTTTCAGCTGCAACTCTGGTGGTGTTGAACAGTCTTTGGTTCAAGTAAAGAACAAATATTTAAACAGAATCCAAACCTCTGAGTAGGTTTACTGCAAATCTTGTAAGCTCAACAAGTACTAGACTTTAGTGCTTCAATCAGTCTTTGTTTTAGGATGGTATTGCTACAAACACAGAAGGATGAGATGGTTTTGAAATGTCTTGCTGTCGATGTAAATCAATATATATATAATTCAAGGAAGATTGAAGGTCCCTCCACTGAGAATCTACATCTCTCATGTCTGTGCTCATCAGGGTCAGAAAAGAGTTTAGTCTCCCCTTCCTAAGAAACACTCACTATCCGTTCACTCAGCTCCACATGAGCTGCTACGACTGGTGATGCCATTTTCCAAGAGAACTGATGATCAATACACGTTGATCGTTTATCTCCAACATCTGCTGCTCTGGAGCAGGTTAGGGGTTCAGCATAAGTTACCCCCTAAGAAGTTAACGACTGTCGAGTTTCTGAAAACCCAGAGTTAAACCTGAAGTTATCTGGCTAACCTCCAGTCCTGCTTCATAGGACTGACCTCTGATTACGTCCCAGTGAGGATGCTACCAGGATGCAGTAAAGACAGTGACAGGTATTCGACCAAGTAAACTAAAACCTTGAGTTGTGCTTGGTTTTAATTCCCAAATTCTTAAACAGCCTCAAAAACAGACACTTTCATTGCAAAAGATTACATGACACATTCTCTGACTGAATTTTTTTCCCCCAAGCAACGTTTCTGTCCACCTCGACTCTTTGACAGTTCAGGGTTTTAAGGTGCACTTAGTTTAACTCTCCACCAAACTTTTTAACAGCCTTAAAAATAGATACTTGAATCTCCAGGCAAAACAGAGCGCTCATTTTTGATGCCTTCCCTCCTCCAGCTAGTATTTCGATCCAGCGCACCTCATTAATAAATCAGGATTTTATACCTGACAATGTTCTCAATTTCTTTTCACTCTAACAGTGAAGGGCCTTGGAAAAAAACTCTGGAAGTCTTCATCATCTTTCTGTTCCAATATCCTCGACGCAGCACCGTGACATGATTGCTCATGCATGTTCAGTCTGTGCGAGCAGCTGACTCTGCCCAGGTCTTTCAGGCGCAGAATGGGTGTGACAGGGCAGGTTTCTGGAGGTGAAAGCTCTGGGGGTCGGGGGTCAGGAGAAGGGCACCTCCCATCTCTGTGTGTAAGCGCTCAGTTCGCAGGGGCTGATCACCAGCATCCGGGAGGAGTCCATCCCGTCCAGAGCCATCTCCGAGTCCAGGCAGAACCGAGACACGAGGTGCTCCAGGTGAGTCCCTGACTTCTGCCACCGCTGCAGGGAAAAGCAAAAAAACACAGTTCAGAAGAGAACGTTTCACCACATGTTTCTCTTGTAAATTAGAAAACTTTATATACACTCAAACGAGACATTTACTGCTCATTTTAGCAAACAGCAAACCAAGAACAAGAGCTTATTTTGGATTGATAGCAGATTTAAGCTGCTTGCTATTGATCCACCCCCTGTACTGCAGTGAAAGGAGGTATGGCTCAGAGGATCTTCTGAATGCAGAAACCTGCAGACGACTAAAACACCTCTGAAAAGGTCTTCAGTTATGCTCTGCAGAGCAGCTGTATTACTGTATGACTGAGCTGCAATATGCAGAGAAACATGAACCTGACAGTGACGGAGCTGATGTCAAACTCTTTTGCATATAAAGTAAGAACAAATGTCTCGGTGCTACATGTGCACATACCGCACTGAAGGACAGACATCACTGATTTCTTAAGTGATACACATAGTATGCAATATACAAAACATACAAAGGAGCAGTCACAGCCAGAATAGCTGAGAACAAAAACCCCACCTTTCACCGGCATAATACCCAAGAAAATACATGCTGCAGCAGAAATCTCAATGCAGAAAACCCACAGTAATCACAGTTCATCTCCCATCAGGGGCTTTGACAGAGAACCAGGCTGACACTAGAATTAGATTCCAACTTTTAGGATTTTAAGAAACAGGCTTTTAAATCCTTTTATGGATTTTTGAAAACACTTATTAGTGATAAAGTGTTCACTGTCAGTGATGCACATGGCTGCTGTTTATATCATGCACCAGAGCAAAGCACAGCCTTACAAAAGATGGTGCTATTCCAAAAATGTGCAGTGACTACAGTTATATTATGAAGCAGCTTCTACAGCAGTGTGAGAATGTAGGAGACAGTCACAGATGTGTAATAACAGCACAGAATGAGCTGTTGAGAGGACGGGAACTCCAATTCAATAGAAGTTTAGACATCCAACGCTCCACTTGTGCAGTTCATTATAGATGGAACGGATCTTTTTCTCTAGTTTGTTCTTTACAAAAAAGAAGAAATCACAAAGTACTTTGTCAATTTGACAAAGTTTATGGCAACTGCAACTAGAAATGTTCTTTTTCTTTTTCCTTTAATAAAACAATGCTTCAAGAATCAAAATTTGATAAGAATCACATACAACTATTGCAAACAAGTCATTATAAAAACCTGTGACTAATTTATCATTTTTATCGTCCATTTAAATCATGTAGCAGATAAGTTTTTCCTCATGCATCAGCAGCAGGAATGAGTTTATCGTCTCGATAAGAAGAGCCAGAGAGCGAAGCATCAATCCATTGATTATTGGCTTATAGATGTCTAACAACAGAGCTGCAGCCACCCAGATAAAAAATAATATACAACTGTACTTCTACTGTGCCACATCTCATCACCTTTATTTAGTATATTGATAATAACGTAATAATACATTTGATCAAAGTTTTTGTTTCTTGTGCCTCATAGACCCTGTGATTCCCCTCAGTCATCACTAGATGGAGACTTCTCCTGACTTCTTTCTTTGAGCCACTGGCTTTTTGACCAAACAGACACTCGCTCAGTGTGCGTTGTGTGTGTGTTTTTGGGTGTGTGTGTGTGTGTGCATTATTCATAGCTGGATTCTTTAGCTGGAAAAACAAAGCCGCAGATATGATCAGACATGAAAAGAGGCTTTTATCTGGCAGTGGGTTTGAAACCCAGTCATCAGAGAGCGAGAAGAACAGATTGACAGATAAATGAGGAGAGAAAGAGCAAAGAAAAAACAACAAAATAGTAATTATGCGTGTGTGGGCCACTTGTGTGATATCTTTGTGCGTGTGTAATTTGAGTGTGCGCATGCATTTGCCTGCATGTGTGTTAATTCCTTTGTGCCAGCGTGTATGTTGGTGTGGGGCAGCCATATTGTATTCGCTGAGCCTCTGAAGCGTATCACTGTCATGTATCTCGATCTCGTAAGGCCTTGTAGCGACGCACACACCGAGTTTGTTCGGTAGAATTGCATTGCGGGTCTAATGCGGTGGTGTCAAGATGACATGCTCATCACGGGGCAGCGACGGGCCGCAGAGCTTTTTAATTGAAAAAAAGAAAGAGGGATAATTAAAAGTAAATCAATTAGTATTCACCTCATTACTGACTGCTGCAGCTGCTGACATTGAATATGAGAGTAACTGGCCTCTCTTTTAAGTACTGTACGTACAATAGAGCTCATAACCCCTTTGTTCCCTCTCAGGTTGACTGCAGACAGTTGGAGCCTGATTCGCTGCTCTGGGATCAGACTCAGGTCATCACAGGGTGAAGGCAGACTCAACCGAAATCACCTCCTTTGGGACTTTTGCTGGTATCAGAATTCAGGTGAACTTCGTTGGTTTGAGATTTGATTCCTTGCTGATTGGCTCCCGAGGCAGCCAGGCTGTCTAGACTATTTGTTACATATGTATGTATGTAATCAATACTTGGGTGGCCTTTATAGCTGCCGTTCTCCTCGGTACACTTGCTCCCAGGTTGTCAAGGTACCTGACAGACAGACTGTTTCGAACATTTAAAAAAAACTGTAAATCGGTACAATTTCAGTTGTCTTTATTTCAGTATTCTATTTAAACTCCAAATAGATTTACATTTCGGTATTATAGGTTAAAGATTTGTTTTTATTTCCATGCAAACAGAAAGTCTCACCCGCCAAAGTTATTGTATGTATGAATGTCAACACTTCTCTTATCTTACTTGTGCATGCAACTTAAATACTCATTTGTAGTCTAGCATCAGACTCTTTGCCTCATAATAAGGTTGTTGCTACTGTTGCTGCCAAACATTTGTGGATTGACCTTTTATTATTTTAAAACTGGAATATGATTACAAGGTTGGAATAATCTGACAGACGTGGCATCAGGAACAAGACAACTGATTCTGTACAGAAGAACCTTGCATAGACGTGACAGCGAGTCCAGCATGGTGAAATGTTTTCGTCTTCTCTGGCCTAGTTTGACAACTTCTGCACCCTACATGCTTTATGATCCTGTGTTTGTTGGCCAAGTCTGTCTCTGGCCCACAGACGATGGATTTAGCAACAGTGACGTCCAACGTTGGTTTGTGGATTGTGAAGCCTTGTGTTTGGAGTTTGGCCATCACCATCTCGGTATTTTTGGAATCAGAAGTGACAGACGAGGGGCGGATCTAAGTGAGAACTCCGGCACTCAGTACGCATCATAGACTGTGTACAAAAGATGGACGTAGCCAATGACGTCACACGCCGATTTGTCTACTGGGGGGGGCTCAAGTTTGCTACTTCCTGGTCAATGTCTTGCAGTTTTTAGAGCAAGAAGTGACCATGTTTGAAAGACAGGGCGGATCTGGAGAGGAGCAAGGGGCAGGATTGATGGAAAACCAGAGGACACTTTGCCCACTCACCAATACCAACCTGACTCCTGCTCTGCTGTGCAAACCACCAGGATTGACATGTCAATCGATACAGCCATGTCCCCAACAACAAACACTTTAGGGCCTTATTTCTGTTTAATGTCGGATTTTTTTTTTTCAGATGGACAGCAGGAACATTGATCAGAAGGTCAGTTCATAAAAACAAATCATAATGACTTGTGGAAAAACGTATTATACTACATCAACCTTTTTCATACAGTTTATAACACCAATACGGTAGCAACCTGTCACTACCATGCAGCCACAGACTATACCATGTCTAATCATTGATTTGAATTGCTTTTAGGGCTACTTTCGAGGAGCGGCTTGAGGAACTTATGGCACTTATGTGTTGGTGTCACTTTTCAGAGCTCTGGTCCTTCTCGTCTGACCATAAAGACCCAAAAACTATGAATAAAGCAGAATTCACTCAGTCTGATGCGTCTCTGAGCCAACTGACAGCAGGAATTTAAAGCACTGTGATCACCTAATCTGTCACAGTCACTGTCGTAAAAGCCATAAATGTCACGTATGTCATCCTGGCATCACATGAAAGTGTACAAGACTTGAAGTGTATGTGACTGGAAATGCATGTAAGGATTGCAGACTACTTCTGAATGTTAATACGTGGATACGGTCTCTCAGCAAGTCGAAGCGGCCTGTTTTTTAGACTACACCATATTGCCGCACACCTTTTCCACAAGCTGAACACTCTATTTTCACCTTTGCTTTACTTCTTTCTCACTCTGCCTTCCCCTCCCTCTCCCCGTGGTGGTCTGTTTAGCTCTGTCTCCAGCACTTTCTTTGTGCATTGCTCTGCCTTTTTCGGTGTCTCTCGTCCCGTCATCCCTCCCGTTTCTCTCTATCCTTAATTTAACCTCACCCTGCATCTCTTCCTCTCTTCCCACTCTGTCTCTCCACCAGTCAGCTCTGGGCTGTTTCTCCGGTGAATCTTCGTTCTAATTAGCTATCATCGTTCTGCTTCCTGCTTTCTGACACACACAGAAACACACACACACACACGTTCTCAACCGGGACATGTAGCAGCGCTGTGTTTGTGTGTCTGTGTGTTTGTGTGTGTGTCGCTACAAAGGTTTACTAGTTTCGGTTACATGACAGAGATGCGCGTCAGTGGCTCGGGCTGAAACAAACACAGACGCTGCTCCGTGTTTGTGCTCAAGTGTTTTTAGTCCTTTAATTTAAGGCTGTTATCTGATATATATCACAGCCTGAGCTGAGTCTCCTCCAGCGATATAACACCTGTCTGTCTGTCTGAGCTGTGTGTGAGTGTGTGCTCGCTCTGAACAACTCATTATTAGTCACCAACCTCAGCTCTTTTTGCCTCTTTCCTTCACTTCCTTTCGTTATTCCTTCCTACTCAATCTCCAATTCTAACTTTTACCTTCTGTTTTAGTTTTCTGTCCACTCCTTCCTTTTCCTCTTACTTTCCTTCCATCCTCCTAACTTTCCTTCCTTCCTGCATTTCCTGTCTTTATTCTTTGTCTCCTTCTTCCTACCTACTTTTCTTCATTTCTTCCTGTCTTCCTTCCTTTTATTCCTTGTGTAATCCTATCTTCCGTCCTTTCTGTCAATCTATTTGTCTTTCATCCTTATTTTCTTTCCTCCTTCTTTCTACCTTTCCTTCATTCAGCCTTTGTTTCCTCCTTTGTACCTTCCTTCCTTCCTTCATTTCATCCTTCCTTTCTCTCCTTGTTTCTTCCTATCTTCTATCCTTACTTTCATTCTTTTTTCCCTTCCTTCCTACTTTCTCTTCATTAATTTGTTGTTTCCTCCTTCCTGCCTTTCTACCAGGCTTGCTTCCTACTGTACTTTCCTTCCTCCTTTCTTTCTTTTTTCTTCCTCACATTTCTTACCTTCCTACCTCCAGAACACACAGGCGGAGAACTGTGAGCGTTTCCACAAGAAACCGCATGCTGGGAGTGAACACACCGCTGTCCTCGTTTTCAGCGTTGAAACTCCGAAAAACAAACAAATAAAAAAACAGCTTTTTTTTTTTTTTTTCCTGTTTCTCTCCTTCAGTTGGCACGTCTACTGTAGGTTCCTGCTTTGTTTGGTGATAGCACATCCTCCTCTGTTGCTGCCACAGGGGAACTTGTTGTAGAGGTATAAAAATATTCAGACCTCTAGAAGCCACAGCATTTCTATTATGAAGCCAGAAACAGCTGAGAAATGAATACCAAAGACTCCTAAATCTTGAGTCCAGATTTACTTTGATTTATCGTGTTTCCCGTTTTGCTTTAAGCTCCTGTTGACGTTCTGCGGTGTACACGCTGTGTGCTACAGGCATACAGTGACATTGTATATGATGCACGGTGTGGCCATTTTTTTGGACTCTTCTTTTCTTTCCTTTAGCTTTCTTATTGTCTGTCTTCATGCCCCCCTTTTTCCTCCACAAAGCTGCAACTCTTTCTTCTTCGTCACTCATCATCCTCCTGTCTTACTTTTTTTTAAATATCTCCTCCTGCTTTTGCCTACTTTCTCTTCTCATAATCTCCTTTCACTTCATTGCATTCATGTGTCTGCTTCTTTCTGACTATTCATCTTCACGCTGCTGACTCATCAATCAAATAATGCATAATAACAGTGACAAACCACTGAGCTAATCACACACATATATGGTTTTCCATGTCTGATATTATCCACAAAAGCAGGAGATCTGTTCAAGGAGGCAAGGATCCAGATGGGATTAACACAAACATACACAAACGCACACTTGCGCAGAATGTTGCATGCAGACTGAACAGTTGGCGAGGTGTAATGAGCTAATCTTCTGCTATCGCTCTCTCCCCCTTGACTCACCCTCCTCCCCTCTTCTCCTTCCTTCCTCCCGCATCCTCCTCCCTTTCTCTTCTTTTGTCTGTCTCGCTTCACCTTTCCACCTGTGTCTCTCCTCCTCCCTCCCTCCCTCTTTCTCTCTCTCTCTCTCTCTCTCTCTCTCTCCTTCTCTCTCCCTCTCTCTGGTGATTTATTGGTTGTCAGGTTGTTCTCTGCTGCAGGGGCTTCTGGGACGCCGTCAAGGTGCCCAGTGGTCAGGTAATGACAAGTGTGAGTGTGTATGTGTGTGTCTGTTAAGAGTATTTCAAGCTGCCTGTCCAAAAAAGTGTCAAGCATCTGGCCCTGCAGTGTGTGTGTGTCTGTGGGTGTGTGTGTGTGTGTACGGCAATCATCTTTAGACAAATTTAGCTTTAGATTAATTAACATTTAGATTAATTTATCAGCCATATGATGTACGGTAGTGACTCGCCTGCAGCTACACACCACCTGTCTGCCTGAACTGTGTGTGTGTGTGTTCCTGTGTGTGTGTGTGTGTGTGTGTGTGTGTGTGTGTGTCTATGCAGACCTGCTTGCCATCCGCCATGTTGCAGGGCAGCAGCAGGACCTGGGAGGCAGGGAAGGTGGTGGACAGAGACAAGCAGTGCTGCTGCTGACGGATCTGCTGCCCATGAGTGTACACCCACTCCTGGAGAAAGAAAGAGAGAGTTCATCGTTTTTTTTTTTTTTTTATCTTTTCTGCGTCTCAAATGTTGTTTGTCAGCTGAGTTTTTGAAAGATGACATTTTCGAGTGCTGCCAAGGCTTCGCTTTTGTTTCCGATAAGCGCTGAGGGAGATAAAGTCATTCAGGGAGAGGCAGTAAAGAATTAGAAACATGCACCAAAGTGACCTTAAATACAGTTTCAGGTTACTGGAGAAATGACAATAAAAACATCCTCGAGGGCCAAGATTCTGTAGACACCCAAACGTAGCAGCTGTATGTGATTAATGCAAAGCTCATTCCAAAGCCATTGGCATTAATTTGCTGCTACAACAGCCTCCACTCGTGGTTTCAGGCTTTCCACCAGACCTGGCTGCAGGGATTTGTTTCCCATTCAGCCACAAGAGTATTAGAGAGGTCTGGCTCACAGTCTAGAGTTCCAGTTCATCCCAGAGGTGTTGGATGGGGCTGAAGTCAGGGCTCTGTGCAGGCCGGTCATCCACACCAAAGTGAGAAAACATTTCTTTACAGACTTGGCGTTCTGTACAGGGCTGTTGTCATGTTGAGACAAGAAAGAGCCAAACACAAAATACAGACAGACATTTAGAAGAAGACTGTTTTTTATAATATTATATGCTGTGCCATTTACTATGCAAACTATGAGAAGCAGAAATAGACTGAAAGTGGACAAAGGTATGTATTTTGCGCCTGATTGTAAGACAGACTAAACACAGCAGTTCATAAAACAGGGCTGAAAGATTCTGGGAAAATATTTAACTGAACATTTTATTACAGATATCACAATTTCATTAGCAACATAATTTTTAAAGTCAAGTTTCAGCTCAGTATTCACAGTGTACATTTGCCCACCTTGGTCATTTTTAGTGACTTTGACAAATGTTTTTGTAGTACGCTCTTAATCTTCATGTAAACCTTATTCACATAGTCTTAAGTATGTTCATTTGTGCTGCTGCCTGTCACAATGCCCCAGTAGAGAAGATTCTTAATCTAAATTAACCCGTTTCCTTGTTAAATAAAGATTCAATTAAATAAAAATATATTTAAAACAAGCAATGGAGCATGAGACACATGAGACACTATCAAAAGTGTGACTCTCACTCAAGGAGAACGGCACAGATTTGTAAAACCACTGACATGACAGTTTAAACTCTTTTTCTGTTTGCGTAGTGTCAAACTGCAATTTAAATGTAAAATCGAGGAATTGTGCAGCCCATAAATAAAACATTTTAGTGTCACCTAGACCTGCTACAACACTGAAACATATAACAATATAAAGCCACATACAGGTTATATAAACACACATAAACACAATATAAACACATACAGTTTACTAATGAGTGATGTTACTCTTAACTCTCTACCCTTAAGTAGAGATTAGTGATGCACGATGTTAAAATTTCTGGCCGATACCGAAATCAAAATTTTTGATATTGCCGACAACCAATACTGCCGATGTCGATATTCAGTTTTTGTTCACACCAAAAAATGAGTATAAGTAAGCACTTTGAGACTGTGAGAACTATTCAAAAGAAGCCCCTAATACCAAATTAGACCACAGTCTTCTTTATTACGTAACAAAAGTAAAACATATTTTAACATATTTAACATTCAAGTCCAGGACCATTTAAGAAAAAAACATATGTGGAACAGCAGCAATATCAAATGTAGAGACGAAGGCACTAATGTTAGACAATTATTGGTTTATCACATTGGCTAAATTTGTTCATTGAACCGATACTGATATATCCGAAGAAAACACTAATATCGGCCGATGCCGATATGGTCGCCGATATATCGTTCATCCCTAGCAGAGATAGCTGATAATTCCTTACTTTTACTTTAGTACAATTTTGAATGCACAGTAGTGCTGCCACATTTACTCAACTACAGTCTGAATACTTTTTTACACTGGACATAGAGACATACAGACATTGATGAAGACGGATAAGAGCAATGTGAAGCTGTGTAATTTGGGAGAACAGATCATAATTTGTTCAGCTACTGAGAATAAGAGCTCCTAATAATGAATAACAAATTGTATTTTAGGATATCTTTAATCCTGTTCTTATAACATATATCCAGAAGCAAAAAGGGGAAAAATGTATTGGCTGCAATGACATACTAACCTGCTATGATTCAGTACATATATAGAAATGTAGTAGTAGTAGTGGTGGTGGAGCTGATGTGTATTCATCACCACTACAAGAGTCAAACAACCCTCATCCTGTGTGATACGGGTGCGTGTAATAAAACATTTATGTGCAGCTATTTCAGTCTGAGTCTGAGCTGCAGGTCACACATACAGACACACACATACAGGCAGCTAATGCAAAGGATTGGTCAAGGTTCACTGTAACAGTGTCCTGATGTATTAGTGATCATGTAGGAGAAAGACGTGTTAGGAAAGAAAATAAGAGCTGAGAGCAGCAACAAACACGTACAGGACACACAGAGACTGTGTAACTAGGTCAGGGATATTATGGTAACTAGAAAGATCTGTGAACAATTCAACCTGTGCGTGCGTGTGTGTGTGTGTGTGTGTGTGTGCAGCCTCAGGGGACAGACAGCAGAAAGGTCACGCCAAAGTGAATCACATCTCGACACATCGAGAACACACACATGCACACACTGATATTTAATGCATGGATCATGTGTATTTTAATTAAGAATATAACAAAAGTGATATCAACTACTGAATTACCCTTTTTTTTTTTTTTAAATTACTCTCGTGTCATTATTTGAAAATAAAACATAATTAGTATATATTATTACACATGAAGAGAAAATGGAAAATACTTTAGATTCTATTACATTCCTTTGACTGTTACTTTTTAAATAAGCTTTTTACATGTAAAACATTCAAAAAGCTTTAAAAATATGATGCAATATTATAGATTTAATTACCTGATAGTGCATTTAATATTTATTGAATCAGCCCCAATAGACAGCTCCATGATAAAATGCTACGTACACTTTAATGCACCAGCAGTAAGAATAATCAATCAGTAAGTTTACACATACTGGTGTAACACTCAGGAGCCACTTTTTGCTTAACTCAAGACTTTAGCTTATAATGTAGTCATTTTAAATCACCATATTACTAGTTTTATCAAAGGATACTTGTTTCATCGCGGACGTTTTAACTAAATAAATCATTTCTGTCAAAACAGCCACCCATTCATTCTGCCCGTGTATTGGCTTTTCAGTTAATCATTTCAGCTTTAACGATCAGGAATGTGTTTTGAGGAAATACTCGACGATATTTACTCATTTTGAACTGACTCCATAGTGACACATCATTGATTCTTTACCAGATATCAGCATGACCGCACTGCTGATTCTCCTGTATGTAAGTAATGGTGGGGGAGAGCTGATTTGGGGGACAGTGGGAGGTCTTTTCAAATCAGCTCCGTGATGTATGACGTTTCATCTTGAATATCTCAACGCTGCAGGGTTTATTTCATCATATGATTGATTTATTGAACTGCAGCGAAGAGAATGACATTGGAGGTTAATTGGTCCCGTAGCTCAATAAATCATCACTCTGCTGGAGCCTCGCAGGGTTCAGCCGGTACGTTTACACGCACACTTAACATTTAGCCTGAACACAATCAAACAGTCACCTCAAGCTGTCATGTGAACAAGTACTCTGTTTACAAAGTCTAGATTTGTGCAACCTTGGACGTTTTATTGCTAATTTCTTTGCATTTTTAGTTCTTATTATTACAACACAATTACAACATCTATCTCACTGTAAACTGCACCATGAATCTTACTATAGCCCGCTATCATCATCATTATGCTTATACTCAGACATTTCATTTTACAGTCTGTCATCCTACATTTATTTTATATTAACATACAGATATATTTATTATGCATTTCCTACATTAATGCATATTTTTTATGCAAACTTTAAACATCATTTGTATCACTTTGCTCATAAATATGCATCGTGCATGGAAACATAAAATAGGGAACTGCTGTTTGCTGATTTAGATTATTGTCCTGTACACATGCACTCCTTCACTTGTTCTTGGAGTTTAATTTCCAGTTTTCTATAGGAAACAACTGAATGTGAGGGAGTGATGAGTGGCTGACCAAATCTTTGGTGTATACACATAAACAAGTGCAGAGAAATGAAGCAGTGTTTTAAGCAGATTCCTCACTGTAATCAGACTCACTGGTTGCAGGTTAACACACTTGCTGGTTATCCAGTTACACATGGAGCAGGTCAGCTGAAACAAAGCCTGCATGCTCAGCACAAGTGTTCCCTGGACGACTAAAAGGTTAAAAGCAAAGTGTACTTTGGCTTAAAATAACGATGACACCTGCAGCTCTGTGCACCAAGCTTTCAGAGTAAGCTGTATTTTTCCCCCCCTTTTTTTTTTTAAAGTCAGCTGAGCCACCTTGCTTTCATGCACACGTTCACAGGCGACAGCAGAAGCGATAAAACCACAACTTCATGTCTGTGCGCTCATTACATTTGGAGCAAATTGTGTTCAGAATGATGGTTTTGTGGCTCAGTGGGTCGCGCTTCATGCCCGTCATTCTCCTATCCCTTCAGCTTATATTTCTGCTGTTATACACAGCTGTCCACCCTCCCATTAATGGAACGATATAATGCATTTGAATCCTAGATGACTGACACTGCAAGCATTCTGGTCCGTTGCAGCTGCTGTAGGTTTACAAATCCCTCTCGTTGTTTCTGCTATTGATTTTTTTCCTGTATGTGAATGCTGGTCCAAAATGGCGTGTTAAAAGGAATCCTCCCTTTGTTTCTGAGGAATGTTTACAGTGAATAGTGTAGCTCAGTGTCCTGTAATTACACTGTATTACATCTGCTGGAAATGTCTCATATTTGATGTTTGATTCCATCAGTTATGACATTTTCCTCATCAGCTATATTAATGAGAAACTGGGATGCTCCAGCAGCACAAGAAAAACAACAGACATGTAACAACTGCTAGATTCTGGTTCCAAAACCTTCTCTGGATCCCACTCATTCCAAATGTGTCAAGTTCCCTCTAGAAATACCAAGTTAATACTGTTTTTTAGCGTGCCAATATGACCTTATTGTTAAATTTAAACCCTCTAATAAAGCCGGTGTAGACGTGCACTCCTCAATGTGATAGGAACAGCAACAAACTTGTCACGTTAATGTAAAAGCCATAACAGCACACTGACTAGATCGGACCTAACAACAATTTCTGTTTCACTTTCACACAGGACAGAACTGCATGTTGTCACGTTAAAAGAGAGGCCCGGACAAGTGACGCACTTCAAGTTGTGTGAAGTGATTTGGGAAAGGATTTTTCCACATTTCAGCACCAATATTCATCCAAAAACAACAGAGAGAGAGAGAGAAAAGGAGAGCTAGCTGCCAAAATCCCAAACACAAACCATACTGCAATAAAAACAGATACTGACAGCTTAGATTAACGATGCTCGCCAATAATGAATGTAAATTGTGTTTTTTTCCCCCCCCACAAGACATTAACAGGAGCTGAGGTAGCAGAGTAATGAAGCAGCAGCAATCGGAGAGCAGCAGGATCCATATGAGTTTCTCTAAAGCAAGACAGTTGTGTGCATCTGTGCTGTGGACCAACAGCGAAGGTAATTTCATGAAATACTTCTAATTAGAAATTATCTCCAACACAGAGACAGGATCGATCAGGATCTAACACACACAGAGTCACAGTTTATGAGCTGCAGGTAAATCATGTGTTACATAGCAGCTGTCCTCAGGTTGAGTCCTGGGCTCCATCACAGCTGTTGGGATGTTTTCATTTTACTGTTGGCAGAGCAGTAGTTAGATTATCATCACACATAGAGAGAATTGTCAGTGTTTAGAAAATCATTTTTTTTTTTAAAAAGGCCGTTAGTTATTTGTACAGTTTGATAAGCTTTTATTAGTTTAGATTTAATTCTTTGTTTGCTATGGCATTATAATTTGTTATGCATTATCTGATGTGTTGTCTGTCACTGAGCTGAGTTTGCCTGAATAAGGTTGTGAGGAACATTAACAGATAACTGACTTATAACTAAATGACAGAATGTCATCACATTAACAGATTGATGAAGCAGCAATGGTACACAGTTCATGTCTGAAAGAGGCTTAAGTGTAATTATTTAAGAAATGATTATTAGTAAAATTGAGTTTTGATGGATTATAGAAGGCTTTGATGTCTGCTATGTGGCCGCAGTCCTGCTTGAAGTTCTCCCAGACCCTGGACTCACCCTCACTGCTGCTTCTGTTTGTGGTTACAGAGTTACATTACAGACCTGCACAGGTTGAAGTCACACAGTATTTCAGTAGTTCGAAGTTTGTATAAGATTACAGTTCTTGCCCTGATAGCACAATGTAACAAATCTCAACCCACCGTTTACTTTAGTCCAAAGCATAAAAGACAATACTCTGCACAAGCTGCTACTCAGGGCTTCAAATTAGCTAACCAATATGTGACATCACACATCACTACTTACATAGAACATCTGAAAAGATAACAACCAATTACGACGTAACATCCTCCTACAACTTCTGCTCCTTAAACTTGGCAGGCACTGCTATAAAGATATGTAAAACAGTTCACTTTACAGGAAGTGTTTGAACAAACTACACCAGTATTTTCTGTCAAGGATGGTCTTGACAGCTCATCATTAGAATCATAGCTTGATAGGAATGATGGCCAAAAGCATAAGCACTGAGAATGTACAGAAATAGAACACTCTTTCTATTTGAATTTCTTCTTTTAATTATACTGACTGAGAATAGTTGCACGCCCCAGGAGAAAACAGTTTTTTTCAAACTGACAGAAAACTAAAATGAATTAAATTCTGTAAGTTCAAAAACATTCCCACCTGGGAAACCCGACTTCTGAACATGAACAAACAGGGATTAAGAGCCTTCCTTCAGGGCTTTCTTCAGTTCATAGGAGAGAGCTTCTTACTCACACGCACACACATCCCAGTGGTTTTCCCAAAGAGTTTAGGGATTTGAACCAGCAACCTTCCAGTCACGAGCTGGCCTCTCAAGCCTTCAGGCATTTCAGCTGCTGACACATTCGCTTTCTGCACGTCGGCTTGTTAGACCGAATCACAGCCTCCACACTTGCTCTAAACATGGAATAATGAGAATCCTACGGGTATTAATTATAGCTGAGAGAAGGGAGAACACACACACATACACACACACACACACACACACACACACATACACACACGCACACTCTCTCTTTGGTGTGTTGCTGTGCTAAGTAAGTAAAAAGATGAACGCAGTCAGAGCAGATCAGACACACATGAACACAAAAAAAGAGTTAAAAAATAACTGGCCTAACACTAACACAGTGTGCTGTGTACACACCTGGACTTGCACACACAGTTACATGCTCACATCTTTCCATCTGCTCACAATCACAAACTTCTTCTTGTACACTGTTGAGCTCACAAAAATGAGCAGGGCACAACAAGGTCACAAACACAAAGACACACACAGCTACTGCTCTAACCTAATTAGGTTTTAGCCTAACAATGCCCTCATACAGGCTCTTCCAGATATTTACTAATGATAAATGAGCGCAAGTGAGAGAGAAAAAGAGGAGAGCTGAGGTTAAGCAGTGTTTCCTCATCCACTTTAAGTGAAAACATTTTTCCTTTTTATTTTTTTTTTATTTATTTATTTTTTAAAAATTTTTTTAGGACCAACCGCTACACATTCACAGCTTCTCAGTACAGTCATAGTCGGGTAAAAGGCACTAAGTTATTACAGAAGCTTTAAAAATTATTCTGAAAATATTTTTTTTTTGTTGCTGGTGCAAACAAAATAATACCAACACTAATCAAGTTTACCTGCCAAAGACAGAACTGTTCTGACCAAAATCTCTCATTTCATAAAACTCCCAAACATTTTAAGTTACTCACGTATTCAGGTAAATACTTGCAATTTGCTTTGTTTTATGAAATTGAACTGTAAACTTTCTGTGTCTTTCCCTTTAAGTGTTTATTGTACTGCTTGTACACAGGTCAATCTTGAAAAAGAGCTCAGAATCTCGGTAAGATTACGTGTTCAAATCAAGTACACAAATAAAATAAGGAACACTTTCAGTGCATTGATTTTGATTATTATTATAATTTTCAAATGCAAAATTCTGAAAAATTGTTTTCAGTTGTTTCACTTTAACATTTTGGTACACTGCTGCACACCCAAATACATGTTGTACTTAAAGTTGGAATATGCAGTTCTAATCAAATACAAGTTTTTTCAAATTCAGTTAATATCTCTTCACAAGGTGGCGCAGTTGGTTAGTACTGTTGCCTCGCAGCAAGAAGGTCACCGGTTCGCGTCCCAGTGGGGGCACTGGGATCTTTCTGCATGGAATTTGCATGTTCTCCCCGTGCAGCGTGGGTTCTCTCCAGGTTCTCCAGCTTCCTCCCACAAGGTCCAAAAACATGTTGAGGTTAATTGGTGATTCTAAATTGTCCGTAGGTGTGAATGTGAGTGTGCTTGGTTGTCTGTCTCTAAGTGTAGCCCTGTGATAGACTGGTGACCTGTCCAGGGTGTCCCCTGCCTTCACCCTGAGTCAGCTGGGATAGACTCCAGCCCCCCTGGACCCTAATGAGGATTAAGAGGTGTATAGATAATGGATGGATGGATCTCTTCACAAAATAAATCTAGTGCTTGTACGTAGTCCTGGCTCTGTAAATGGGAAACAAACAAAGTGGCTTTGACCGATCCATACAACACTGTTGCAGCAAATCCTGTCATGCTCACACAGAGGACAGTGAAAGAAGGCGGTAGGAGTGAGAAGGACAGTAGATCTGCCACACTATCTAAACATGACAACAATCTCTCCAGAATCACAGACTCCACCTTTAATCAAACCAGTGACCAAATGTTTTATGAAGCAGCTGTACTGCTTGTAATAAAAAAACAACAAATAACTGAAAACCAACAACTCTTACAGTTTCCAGTTGCCAGTAAACTCTTTTCCACTTGTAAACTGTCTTTATATTTCTTAAGATATCCCCTGGTCTTCTCCAGGTTCACAGTGGGAAGAGCTGCAAAATTTCCGGTTTCCAGACTGCCATTGTATTTCTAACTCCTGATCGACCCACCTGGTTGATGGCTGGGACCCCCTCTGTTCCTATGCAGGGGGCTAACGTGAGGACGGGCATGTCCTGGCCCTCCACCCTGCGAGACTCCAGACAGTTCTGCCTCTGTCTGATCACCCCCGACTGTGAGTCCGAGTCGTCTGGGACCCTGGTGGAGAAAAGGAAAGTTAAGGCGTCCATTGTGTTTGGTGGATGTGGAAATTGGAAGAGTAAAAGAAAACCAAAATAAACCAGCACCACGAGAGGTAAGCTGATAGAAATATATATAAATGTGTTCTGACTGACTCGACCTGATGCTTTAATATCTAAGAACCAACGTGGAAGCACAAAGGTTTAAAGGAAATGTAGTCTTCATTTTAAAACCCACTGACAGCCTTGGTGAAATGAGACAGAAGACCCCAATCAACTCTAGCGTGGTCTCATTAACTACATCAAGATATCACAGTTAATTTGACAGTAATTTATCAGCGTTTGCAAAAATGACGTGCTGTACCTTTAACAAATCCGCTGAAGGCCACGATTCTCTAAACTCATTACTTCAGAAAGTTTCTTCCTAGTCTTCCTGTTTGATAAACTTTCTCAGTCCTTCTTGTTAAATTCTCAGCTGCGCTATAAACTCGGGCTTAAGCCCTGTAGCATTAATTCAATCTGCTATCTCTCTCTGTTTTAATAACCCGTTAAAGGTTATTCTGCTTTTTAAGGGTCAGGTCTGTCTTCCCCTGAGAGCAAGCCTGTTAATTCCATTCTGGGGGATTAACACCAGCCTCCAGTGGATAAATGGGTATTTAAGTGTTCTTGTGTGTGTGTGTGAGAGAGAGAGAAAGAGAGAGGAGAGTTTAAAAGAGAGTGTTTATGTGTCTGAAGGTATTTGTATTGGCAGGTTTGTGTGCTTGTGACTAGTGTGTGTTTTGTATGTATATGAAAGAGTCACTGCCACGGCTTAATGTTATAAAGTGTGACTTTGTGTTTATGTGTGATTGTACGTGTGTGTGTGTTGTGTGCAGATAGGGCAGTGAGTCTGACGAACCGGTCCCCCTGGGAGTTCAGCCAATCAGGACAGAGGGAGAGATTTAAGACACAGAGACAGTGGATGAGGTGTAGAGAAAGACATAAAAATGGACTGCATAATGAGTGAGTGTGGCTGAAGGTGGGCTTCCACTCGCTGTAGACATGAATTTTGACAGATATTTCAACACTTGCAAGTTACTTGGCTTGCCTTTATGTCTTTTTCAGTTAAAAAAGCTTCATCTCTTCATACACTTGTGGACGCATCTGATTTGAGTCTCCATTCATTTCAACGAGGGATGGCGCTGCGCTCACAATAATTGATCAGATTTATATCGCGCTTTTCTAGGCACTCAAAGATGCTTTACACTGTCAATTAATTCACACACATTCATTCTGGTGGTGGTAGCTATGACTGTAGCCACAGCTGCCCTGGGGCAGACTGACAGAGGCGTGGCCCTCATTCTGCGCCTCCAGCCCCTCCGACCACCACCTCAAGCAATCCATTCATACGCATTCACACCAGGCAAGGTGGGTGAAGTGTCTTGCCCAAGGACACAACGACCACAACACAGGTTACAGGGCGGAATCGGACTGCTGACCTTCCGATCATTGACCGACTTGCTCTACCACCTGAGCCACAGCCGCCCAATGTTGTCACAATGACAACAAAGTTTGTTTCTCAGGTTTGACAAAGCAGCCACACAAGAATGTATAGTATACAACTTTCCACAGGATGATCAGAATCCCTCATGATGACTAAACTTAATGGTGCAATCAGCATCATTCCCCTTTGCAAGTTAAAAATAAACAAATGGATACAAAACATAAAAAAGAAATAATCTTATTTTAACAATGAACCAGACAGTAATAATCGGCTGTAAAAGTTCTCCTTTCAGTTTGCATACTCAGCAAAAGCTTTCCCTTGACAGATAAGTCAAAAGACACACACACACACACACACACCCACACACACACACACACACTTACTTGAGCTCTGGGTAGACATTGTCCAAGTACCACTTGAAGGATTTGCACTTGAGCTTCTTGCGAAGTTCCACTCTGCCTCGGATACTAGTGACACACAAACACACACACACACATACACACAAACACACACAACAGCAAACAGTCAGAATGACAGGAAAGCAGCCATATAAACAACAACAACTCCGATGGCCAAAACCTTTCACCAAAGCTCTGTTCAGGATAAATACTTGTAAGGTGACCCCAAAAACCAAAACTGATGTCGATAATAAAAAAACAATGAAAGCCAGGACAAATTATGGAGGTGTGTGATATGAAAATGTAGGTAAAACCTTAAAGCTATGCCGAAATGTCAGCATTTATCTGACAGACACTTGTAAGCAGTGATGATTCAGCCCAGTTCTGTGCCTCACTGTTCCTGCTGTGTCTGTGTGTGTGTCTTAAAGGAACTGCTTTTTAATAGTCACATCTCATTTGGGATAAATACACTGGGCTCAGATAAACCCTTTATTTTAGGCTTAAGACTTTACTTTTAAAAGAGTAACCACAGCCGGCTGAATGCAGAGCTTCATTCTCCTCTCTGTGAAACCACTGGAGGCCAGCAAAAACAAGACTTTCACAGGGTGTGAAATGAAGTTATGCAAATATCCTGTTAGTGTCTCTGATTGTATTAGTCTGTTGTGCAACTTTATGAAACGGGAAGTTTAAAGGTCATATTTCTGATTCACAGTATTTTTGCCCCACTGTAATAAAGGGCTGAAGTCATTTTAAGCCAACACAGAGGTTGCTTGGAGCAGTTTTTTTTTTTTAATGTTGATTAAGGACGGAGCTTATATTTCTACAAGTTGCAACAGATTGTATCAGCCACTCTTATTGCCATTTTTATGACAACTTGTATTTTTTATTTTTATAATGATGTTTATTTTCTATTTGACAGTCTGCAGCTGATATTAGGGGCCACTGACTGTAGATAAAAGATGGACATAGCCTCTGGGAGAGAAGCCAACACAAAGTGGCTAAAACATGTATTTCTTCTAACAGCCAGCAGAGGGCGAACCCTCCGGCTGCAAAAACAAGTCTGACTGTACATAAGTCTATAAGAAAATGACCCTACTTCTCACTTAATTTGTCACTTCAGTAAACATTTACCGAATGAGTTTATGGTTTCAATTGATAACTTCAAGACTTTTTGAACACAGTTTGATATTTGCTCTGTAAATTATGGTCCCATTTTAGAGTAAACTTGATGACAAAGCAGGAAATCTTTTAGGGTGGGGCTACCCTGTGATTGACAGGTTGCTGCTGTATCGATGTATATAGTGTTCTTTATTCCTAGTCAGATCCACCCCTTACTCATTATTTCAAAATATCAAGATGGCAACAACCGAATGCTGAACTCGAGGCTTCAAAATGATGGTCTACAACCAGCAGGTGATGTCACGGCCAGTGCATCTGTCTTGAATACACAGCCTATGTTCAAGATACACTGGTGAAAGTGAAAGGGGTGATATGGATCAAAACTGGGGATGTTGCAGTTAAATATAATCTGTGGCAGTAAAATTACATTTCCACTCCTACCCAACTCTGTCTGGCTTGGTTGGTTTTCCAACCAGAGAAACATGAAACACATCAGGCCAATTTCAATTAGGGCTGCAAGTAATGATTGATCGGACTACTGATTAATCTGTTGGTTATTCTCTCCATTAATTGATCAGTTGCTTAATCTATGCAAAGTCCAAAAAATGGTGAAAAATGTGGATCAGGGTTTCCACAAGCCTGAGGTGATGTCCTCAAATGTCTCATTTATCCAAAGCTAAACATATTTACAGTCATAGAGGAGTAAAGAAACTAAAAAATAGTTACATTGAAGAAGCTGAAATAAGCTGAGATAATAAATCATTTCACCAAAAATGTAATTCAAACTGATTAGTTGATCATCAAAGGAACTGTCAATTAGTAGTTGACAATTAATCGATTAATCAATGATAAATTCTACAGAAGTGGAAGCTCATAACTCCAAAGTGTCACGTGGGTGTGTGTGTTCTTACTCTCCGTAGGATTTGCCTCGTGCTGCCGGGCGAGCAGAGTAGTAAAAGAGGCGGAAGTCGTCCATCCACACCTCGGCTGTGCGACGTGTGTTCCTGTCACCACACATACACAAACAAACACACTTAGAGCATAGTGACAGTATTGTACTTCCTGCAATGATGGGTCATAGTCAGGCATACCTCTGTGTTTTCGTTGGTCAGTTTGATAAAATATGCGCATCTATGAAATGTGCTGCTGGAAAAATGTAACCCAGAGGACAAACAGCAAGCCAGCAGGGTTTATGAACTTAACAATGTGCATTTTGGGAGACTTTTTGCGTGTTGCCACGATACTCTTTGACTACCAGAATATTTGATGTTTGGAAACAACAAAAAGAGTGCTGGCATCCGCAACTGACACAATGTGACCTTGACAAAAAACTTATTGCAATTCTGTTTAATTTCTGAGCCTAATGTTAGTTAATAGTCTGTGCAAATTTATTTTTTATTGTGTACAGAAATAAAGTGAAACCAGAAGCTTAGAAGACAGAATATCTATCAAACCTACTTTACTCTGGCTCTGTATGATGCAGTAAATGGACTAAAATCATACAGAACAATGTGGTATAAATGTTATTATGTATTGTTAATGCTACGCACAAGCTTCAGAATGTGTTTTGCTGAATCAACGCACAGGAACTGTGTAGTTATTATTGTTTTAATTCAACACTATCTGGAGCGTGCAGGTGTGAATGTGTTTGACAAAATGCAATTTAGAACAGAGAAGTAATTCCTTAATCACATACAAGGTCTGCAAACAAAATGAGAGCAAACTGCAAAAGAGCTTCATCGCGAATACAGAATCACAACGTCTGTTCTTGATGTTTGAGAATGATATTTAAATGTTTAAATTACAGATGCATACTATGTGTAAGGTTAGTTCTCTCCTTCTTTAGCAGTCTGGACTTTGTGATTCTGTGAGAGGCTGCAGAAAGAGGAAGGGGAAGGAAACAAGTAAAAACAGATATCAGCAGCCTCCCACTGTTCACCTGCTGCCTTTAAACACACAGCTCCTACAGAAACAACGGCCCACCTCCAGATGTGGTCTGGCTGGGTTGGGGTTACGCATTCTGATCACAGCGCGGTCTGTGTGCACCTACACCTGCCGAAACATGCACTGTTCCTCAGTCTACCCAGATGTAGCTCATGGCAAAAACAGTGTCACATGCAGGTCAGACCACCTCCAGATGTGATGTGGCTGATCCGATCCTTTGATGGTTGTGATGTTTTCCACATTTGCATTGAAGGGCCACCTGTTAGTCCTCATCCTGATGGGATTTCCAGACACAGATTCATGTTTATACCAGGTGTAAATCATGCCTGCTGCTCTATCTCATCAGTTCAGTTCTGTTCAACTCGCTGCACTTTATTCACCCACACGGCACTAACAGTGAAGCATATTTCTCTATCTCTCATCCCCATTTACTGCTTTTCTCTCATTCTCTTTTTCCTCTCTCTGTCTCTCTGTAGTAATTAGCTATTAGCAGAGTTTCTGTGAGCTGTGAACGATCTCATTGAAATGACAGAAACCCTCCATTACAGGCATTACGCACACTGGCTGTGGCAGTTTAATGAAAGGGGAAGAGAGAGAGGATATGAGATGCTTGTAGGCGTATAAACATAAATACGTGTCACAGGCAGCCTTACAATTAAAAGCTCTCGTTGCGCACACGCATACACACAAACACAAGGTCACAGTAGCAGGCCTCGGCGAGGGAGGAAACAGCATAATCTTTGTAATCGAATTATTAAGCAGCCCTTTTTATTTAGCATATTCATAATCCAGACTGCCAGAGCAGAAGCCTCCAGCTAATTAACCGGCAGAGCAACACGCGAGCAGACAACAGCAGCTTTGTTTGGGAGAACAGCGTTGATCACAAACATCAGGCCATCGTGATACGCATAAAAGTCATCATCTTCCGCACAGAACAGATGCTGCCTCGGTAACGGCCAACAGGGAGTGAAATGAGCGACTAAAAAGCCTAGCTGGGGAAAAAAAGAAAAAAAAAAAAAGTCTCAGCGTTGGTGTGGATTAGCTGGTTGACACAAAACAATAAGTTTATATGAGCCGTTTGGCTGAGGCTTCGCTCCAAAGTGCCGTTCAGCAGCAGGAGAGCTCGTTTTGGGAACTGAACCCTCCAGATCGGCATTTTTAGTGCCTTGCTCTGCCCATTAAGCCACAAAGGGAACTGAACTCCCAACCCTGACAGCGTTAATGCCTTGCTCACATGCTGAGGTTTATGAATTACTGAACTGTTAAAGGAATAATCTGCCAGATAAATCATCCGTCTGTGGCACTCAGTGGATCCCAGAAGTTATTTAGTGATGAAGTGCTGCAATTTAGTTTTTAGTAAACTCACTCTCCCCGTCTTCTACTTCAGTTTGTCATTCACAGTGTTTCCCAGAATGCCTTTTAGTACACGCGTAGGCTTGTTATTGGCCTTTCTCTGGATAATCACTAACAAAAGGGACGATTAAGAAAAGGTTTTAATATGTAACTTCAAATCTATAAAGCAACAGTTTCCCAATTACATACTTTTTTTTTTTTTAGTTCTTATTCTTAACTGTATAACACTATGAGGAACACAGCATGCAGTAATGTTGACAGTGTTCTCATTTCGGTAATCTGAATGGAACCAGAATCCTCATTGTAGCCTTGATTAATCTATTTATACAAGATCAATTCACATGCATTCTGAGCACATTAGTCCTGTTAATGGATTATTGGGTTGCCTGTAAACATCTTTCAGTCTGAACCGTTTGAAAGGGGCAGAGAACAGAATACAGCTTATGCTAATAGGATAATATTGTACTCGCAGCTCAAAGGCTCCCAGGCAGCTGTAAATCCACTTTAACAATGATGTGAGCAGTGTTCGGTGGCTGCGACACACAGCTCAGAGTGGAAACATTTCACATCTGTTTCCTCTGTGTGTATTCAGTCAAACACTAATTCAGCCAGCGAGAAAGTTAGCAGAGTTGGGTAGGTAAACACACGCACACACACATACACTGAAGAATTGTATGAATTTAGAGAAAAGTCAGACAAGTCATTTGTTAATTTGGTAGCAAAGTTAGTCAATCACGAGTTTAGTAAGTACATGGGCAAAGACAGGATCACATTGTTAGATTATGGAAATCAGACAGCTGTCGACACAGAATTCATTTTCCACCGTAATATATAATGCTCTAGCTTCCTGAGACAGGAGGACATGTTGGGTGACTGAGCAGACACAGAGGACAGGACGGCCATGGTGCTAAAAGTCCTGAAAACATATGAATTTGTCCTACAAGGATAATAGTTGCGTCACTAATTCATGCTGGAATTTAAAAAGGTATGGAAACAAAAGTGAAGAAAACCCCAAATTTGAATGAGATAATAGATAAACAAGAGAACTTCAGCTGAGCTTTAAAAGACCAACCACACTTTAAAATTATTCTCACTCAGAGTGCACAGAAAGTGTGTTTTGTATTTTCTATCAAAAATCAATCATGTAGAAAGGATTACAAGGCAAATGATCAAAATCCTTTGACATCACGATTATCCAAATGTCAGACAAACAGAACAGATCCTTCTGATCTAATCAGTCACTAAACATATTCATGACATTGAGTCAGTGAGCTACAAAATTATGTCTGTTGACAGAAATCAAGCAGCACGCTGACACAGATCAATCAGTCTTACAGTAAAACTCATTTACTCTTATTTTACTCTAAAATGAAAATTATGTCACTAACATATTTCTTATTCATTAAATACCGATACATTTATTCAGACACTTACTTGATGTATGTGTTGGCGTTGCCCTCAGGAAAGACATAGGGGTGTTTCTTCCTGAAGACGTGACCCACTCTGCTGCAGGGCAGGATCTCCAGACTGCCGCCACACTGCCACACCCGGAACGAGATCTCTGCACACACCACAAACACACACACATGCAAACCCCTCAAATCCCTGCATATTCACATGTGATGAGGTCATTAAAGTGTCATATTTTACATGTCATATGAGACATAGCTGATACAAACTGCATGTGTTTGATGCACATTAAAATAAGTCACGGTTGTTTCTTTTTATAACACTAAAAACAACTGAAGCCACAATCAGTGCCACGAAAGAATCTCCAACAGCTGTAAGGTCTCAAAGTCCAAAACAGAACAAAATACTCAAACTGAGGAATTGGAAATGAAAAGTGAATCTGTCTGTAAGGTTTGTTAGTGAACATTTAATATTGAATAAGTTTACTGAACTCGTTTATTAAGTTCAATTAACTCAGATGGTTTCCAAAACGCACAAGATGACTTTGAACTTATTATCAACCCAAAGCTCAGTGAACTCACATTTCTAAAGCAGCAGCGCTGTTTGACAAACATAAACATTCTATTTAGGTTTGGTGAGACGTGGGGTACATCGTGAACTGGGAATTTATTAGGAAGTATTCTGTACTAAGTGTACCACTGCTTTCATAACGCAGATGCCCAGAAAAAACACTTGAAAGGGTGTCTAAGTTTAATAAAGGTAGCCTAACAGTTAAATGTTATCACTGTGCGAAAAAATGTTTCCAGGTAGAAATATTACAAAAATGATTTGCTTGGTATAAGAATTCTGTGCACTGTGTCAGTGCTGGAGAATGACTTGGCTGCACTCATTCTATTTTAGGGGAAAAAAACACTTGTTGTTGCTTGTTTGTATTTGTTGTGGGATTTTCAAAATTGAACAAATAACAAAACTGGAGATATGATTAGGATGGTTAAATCTGATTTAAATTTACATAAGACTAGAAAATATGATGTGTAAACTGAATTCATGAATATACTGAACAATCCTGTGTAAAACCCAACCCAGTGAAAGGCTGGACGCCCGAGCTCTCTGCACTGCAGAAGACCCAGCTTTCTGTACATGTGGGTGAAGTGAAATCAAGGTCACCAAGGCCTGGCAGAGACGGGGTTTCCAGGGTGGCTGTAACTTTCCAATTTCTGGGAGAGGGAAAAAGAGCACCCTGGTTGTCGTGTCAGGCCACATTTACACATAACCTGGATCGACGTTTTCAAAAATAACATTGTTTACACCAGATCGTTTAAAAAAAATAAATCTTTGTTTATACAAACCCGCATAAACACCTCGTTCAGAGCTGCTATGAGCATGGCAAGCCTATAGGGGGCAGTGTAACTAGAAGCATAAAGCTGTGCTAGCCAATCAGATTCTTGGAAAAAACACAACAATGAATGGCATGAATTACTTCCTATTGCTTCAACGATAATGGCGCGACGGTCGTTTGTTTGGACCGACAGAGAAGTAGAGTTACTTGTAAATGTATAAGCAAACAGGTCAAAAGCATTTGCACAAATGTAAAAACAAGCACCGCTTTAACAGCATCCATTTCTATCACAGTAGCCAAACTGTAAACATGGGTCGCACACATATGACGCTGATGATGCCTTTGGCGCACACTGTGACGTCAAACTCCGTCTCCTCCTATCTACATGCAAATGTAAAGACGGAGTTTTTTGTTTTTTTTTTAAAGATGATTGTTTTTAAAATCTTGACATTTTGCTCATGTTTGTTCTTCCGGCCTCTGTGTTGAATAAGCATTATTCACATCAGTCTCTGAAGACTGAAGACTTTTTCCTTGAAAACATTTTCTGAAGATGCCAAAGACTAAAACAAGAAGTGACTTTTTGACTACATGTTTGACATAGCTGCCTGATCAACATTGGCCCACGGCAGGCGGACTGAGTCACAACGTATTTCTTTAAAAATCCGCTCCAATGAAAATCAATGTCCATATGGTGTTTTTACATACTAGAAGTCATATCTTGAGTAAAATAAACAGTCAACACCATGACTGAACATTTTCATCTTGAACCTGCAGTGTACAGATGTCAGTCCCAAAAAACGCAAAGCCCGGGATGCAGCAATGGTGCCCCTGTAAAGCCCACTACACACTGTGCGATTTTTGGCCGTCCCAGATGAAAGATAAAGTATTGTATTGTATTATTCTTATAACAATTGTGAGAGAATCGTGGAGATATCTTTGGTCTTGGCTCTAAATCGGTGGTCCTACATTGCACTGTGAGACAGGTTCAAGGACGGCCGTTGTCATGGTCTTGCGACAACTTGCAATAAAATTCTGACAGTGTCACAGATTTGGGGTGATCATCTCACAGTGTGACTGTTGCTGCGATCTACATCAACTAACTAACCAATAGAAATGCAGTATGATATGATGTACTGATCAGCACGACACTGGAGCTCCTTCTCCCTTTTTTTGGATTTATCTCCAAACACATAAATGCCACAATGGCAAGGGCTCCATTCATGCTTCACTAGTTTTTTTTGCATGGATGGATGGTGCACGCTTATGACGTTTCATTCTTGCGCATTCACATCGACTCATGTACAACATCTGCGCACAGCAAACTTTATGTTGCGCCCAAAGTTTATGAGATGCATGTTGAACAGCATAGCTAGCTGTGAACTTATAAAATTGTTAAAATTGCCCAGTTTGTAGCCGGCCTAAAACAGTGTGAAGGGGAACATGTTTTGATGGATCACGCTTGGAAAATGAAACTGTTTCTTTAACCGGTTAAGCAAATGTTGTGAACATATTCTGTGAAGATCTCTGTAACTATTCCTCACAGGTAGTGGAACAGGAGGTGAAGGCTGTGTGAAATACACCGCTAACAGCAGGCTTGTTTCCACCATCTACACATGATGAGTCAGACTAGTGTCATGTTAATTGGGTAAATCTGACTGCTCTCTGTATGTACTCAGGCTTTCTGTTTATTTGAAGCTCTGCCTTTTATGTTGTTTGTCGCTGCGGTTGTTTCTATCCTGCACATCACAGCTAAATGGGCCAAACCTCCCTGAATATTTGATGACCTGCTGACGGACTGTGATTTATTTATTTATTTTTTTTGTCTTTGTGTGAGAATGTATCTGGGAATGTTGAGTGTCGATTATTTCACATGCACTTTGTGTGTTCGTATGACCTGCTTACACTGTGCTCAGTCTCTGATGTGATCGCAGCAACACACACATAAAAGACACAACTAACGTCACTTTAATTCACAGCACTGTGTGCATGTATGTGTGTGTGTGAGTTCAGCAGAGAGAAAGAGAGAAGTAACTGAGCTTCCCCAAAGAACGAGAAGCTGAGAACTTCACAAAGTTTTACAGTGACTGAAGGAGAGAGACATAGATTGAGAACGCGAGAGAGAGAGGAAGTGAAAATTAGAGCATGGACTGGGTTTGATGAGGGAGAGAGCAGGGATGGAAGTAAAGATGAAACACCAGAGAGTGAAAAGGAGAACAAGAGAAGTCAGCAAGATACTGAGATACAGACAGAGAGCCTGTGAGACTGACAGAAACATGACAGAGAGCAAATGAGTGTGTGTGAGTGTGTGAGAGAGAGAGAGAGAGGGAAAACAGGCTAACAGGCTTTCATTGATCTGAGAAAAGCAGGAGGATAGCAATCACACACATGCATGCACGTGCGCACACAGAGTTCAGACGACTGGAGGCAGGTAGCAGCAGGAGAGCCAGATGTTGCTGCTGTCAGAAAGTAAAGACTTTTTTTCTGCTGAATGAAAAGTTCACCTTCGTTCAGGTGATACTGAAGGACCTTTGAATTTCTGACAGGTTACTTCCTAACTTCCATCCTGTTTAATATCAGCTCAGCTGTTTGTGATCAGGGGCTCACATCACGTGTGACCATAATGTGTTCAGCTTCGGCTAAAACTAAGTTTCAAACATTTGGTTAAGACTGTGCAACGATGGCAGAAGCAGCCTTTCTTTTGTCATCTACTTGGGAGATGGCCTGTGCTCGAGAGCTTGGTCCAGAACCTCAGCTGCCAGTCATTTCAGCTGACTAGCCTGGAGCCCGCCTCCCGACCCGTCTGATTGGGCCACCACCCGGTTTCCTCCTCCAGCAAGACTCCAGCAATCACCACACCTGAAGTGAACTCGGTTAGGAGTTACTAGAGTCTTGTGTTTTCTGTGATGTGTGTTTTGAGGCACTTGTTTGTCTAACTGTTTCTGTGCACTCTGCACTCTAGCTCTTGCTATTGTGTTTAAGTTCAGTTGTTTTGTATCTGTTTAGCTAGTTTTTGTAACTGTGCTAACCTTGGTTTGGTTTTATTTGGTTCTTTGATTTACCAACATCCATCGGCCCTGGTTTCTTTGTATTATCACCTTAGCTTTGTTAATGACGTCACTAAGCAACAAATTGCTTTACCTCACCAATGACATCTGTTTTTGTTGTTTTGTTTTGTTACAGTCGGCTGACCCTAGAGAGCTGGGTCATAACATTAACCAAGGTCATGATCTGGCCTTTCCTAAAAACCACAAAAGAAACATGACTTTTACATAAACGTATAATCATGCCAGCAAACATGGTGAATATACAATCCATATTCATTTTTTATCTGCAACCCATATTTACTAATATTAATTCGTTTTTATAAATAAAATGATAAGAAGGCAGAGTTGATAAACACACTTTGGCAAAATGACTGTTCTGCAATCCTGCTGCTCAAATTAACAGCACCAACATGCAGCTGCCAAGCATGTTCCTCCTTCAGACCCAAGGAGAGACACTGAACTCATTAAGGCTTTGTGTACCAGCATGAGCACATCAACCTGACGTACAGTTCATACTGAGCTACCTATCCTTTTCATATTATTTCACTGAATAAGACCTTTGTGAGCAATGTTCCAATTTGAACAACAGGATGGCTTCATGGCCGTATTGGAAGTATTTTGTATTAAAGTGAAGGAGGTCACCTTCGTTTGTTAGCAAGTAAATTCACAAGATAAAGCAAAAAATAAAATAAAATACCTGCCTGGTTATTTTATCCACGGACAGTTTCTGAATATTTTTTTTTCTAGATATGTACAGCTTGAAGGATTTAATAACCATCAATCCCCTGACTGTTGGATGTTTGTGCTCACTCACTGTACCCACTGTTTGTACAACTCCTCATTTGGTTATGATGATTATTTGGCACACGCTCAACAGATATCTTTAAATGAAAACAAAAAACAGGCGATCTCACAAAGACTTTAAGGTGTGCATTTTTTAAAGCCAGTGTAAATTATTTAAAACATTTTCCCTGTTTTGGAAGCACTTTAAGTTAATGTGAGTGAGATTTTATCTCAGTTGCTGCAATAATGATAAAATTATACTGTATCAAGAGCTACCAAGTATCACAGATGCTAAAGCCAGCCATGCATCAATTTGAGGTCTCTAAAGTTTGCATCATTGATCGTGACTGGTGTACTTGTTCTTTATCTTAAAAGAAAAATAAAACTGAAAAGAGAAGGTAAAAGAGTTTGATTAGCATATGCAGAGCTGTTACACTAAAAACAGCTGCTGTAAAGTTATCAATGTAGATAAAAATGTAGTTTCTATTAAAATATCTCAACTGCTATATTCTGCTATTTGTCAGCACAGTCTGCTTTTAAGAAAAGCTACTCCTAATGTGGACTGTGTTCGACTTACCAAAGTTCTCGCCGCCCCAGATGTCCATGGCGGTGTCGTATTTGCCGAGGTGATTGAACCAGGACCTGTCAATCACAAAGAGCCCACCTGCGATGATGGGAGTCCTGCCACAGAGGGACGAGAGAGACACATGGCAGGTGTGTCAAAAAACTGAATGAATGCTGAAATAGAGGATCTAATTTGAATTTCAGTCCTGAGCCATCTGACTGAAACTGAGTCCAATCTTAACCAGGACTGAAGATGATGCGATGATGAGACTCAAACCCATCTGCTAAAATGGGAGTTTGAAAAGCATAACACAGCATCCCCTTTAGGTTTCATTTAGATACAAGGCAGTATAATGTAACTGAACAGCAAACCCATTTGTCGCCATCTTTTTGTTGCTGACGTTTGTGTTAAAATTTCCAGAGAATCGTAATCCAATCCAGAAGTGAGGGGCTTCTGTTTAGGTGCTCTTTGTGTTTTTCAAAACAGAAATAGAAAGGCCTGTTGGTTTGCTGTGGCACACACACACACACACACACACACACATACACTCAGTCACACAAATGCAGCCTGAATCGTGATCTGGACAATGTGACGAGTGAATAGCTGAAGGCCAGCACTCGTCATCAAATACCCTCTGTTTATCAACAATTATCCTGCCGTCACCGCCTGCATATAGCACTCACCGTGTGTGTCTGTCAGTGTGTGCATGTCGACATGTGGGTGGAACTACATGAAAAAAAAAAAAATCTTCTGCGAGCTCAATTCGTCCTTGTGTGTTTAAAGGAATGCAACTATGTGTGTATGGAAGTGTATGTTTGAATGTGTGACTGAAGGAAGTGAGGAAATTAAATAGCATAAAATAACTTGGCGAGCAAATAGAATGAGACAAAGTGGGTGCATGTTCGTGTGTGTGTCTATCTATGTGAGGACCGATCAACGAGGTCTGTTGGTCCACAGCTTCAAGGCTGATCAGACAACATAACTCTGAATGGTGGGATAAGGGGCTGGATTTTTTCAAGCTGTGTGGATCTTGGTGAAAAGAAACTTACTTAAAATGCCTGTGTTAGTTGATGGTTACAGTACCGATGTGATGGTTCAGGTTAGAGGCTATGGAATTCATCGTGTGAATAGTGGATTTACTGGAATAGTGCACAAATGCATCCCTGTCAGACACAGTGACTCAATCCAGCCTCCACAGGTTAACATGACACAGACGTCCAGGTGGAGACGGTTTCTATCTATGCATCTCCATATACGTACACACACCGCTACCCATCCATCTGTGAGAACTTAACGTGCTTGCCGCCACTAAAAAAAGACAAGACAGTCACAAGTTGGCGCCGTGATAAATCTGGGTTCCTGCCACTAATCTGACTTGTGAAGAAGGAAGAGTGCCAAAGTTTATTATTTATAACTGTGTGTTAGCTCCGTGGCTCCTATTGCCTTCCCTTTGTTTGTTTGTTCATTTCTCCGCAGCAAATGATTTGTCAGGCATCGATGGTTTGAGTTTGCGTAAACTTGCGGGAGATTAAGTTTTCCACTGCAGCAGCGATAGGTCAAAGCGGGGTGATACATTTGTTACAGCTTGCTGCAGAGAGGACCTGCGTCATTTGTCATTTTAGCAGCGAAGGGCAACCTCAGCGCTGCAATTAACCCCCACGGCAACAGAAAATGAGATTTCGTAGATGTCATTATTATTTTTCAAGCTTTATTCCTATTTTGAAGGTTTTAATGTAATATTCTAGGACTGTGGGTCTTTTCTTCCACATTCATTTATGTATTATTAGTATGTGCTGGACTCCTCTATAAAAATATGGCTCTAGATACAGTAAATTAACTGATGTTAATGAGTCTAACATCCATTTAATCTGAACATCCTTTATGTTTTTCTATATTCAGAATGCTGTATGGATGTGCTGTATGTTTCATCCTAACATACCTGATGGTGCAGTTCAAATTGGGACTTCATGATATCATCATTTTAAATTTGAAACCTCATAGTTAGACGTCAAAACTTTAATTTGTCTGGAGACCTTTTCCTTCACCAGACATCAGACTGGTACATTTACTGTGGCCTATTTGCGGCTGTTAAGTGTCGCCGCTCTGAGTAGCAATTTGCTACCTTTCTAGCTGTCAGTGCTAATAAAGTCTGTTCAAACAGTTATCTGCCACAGCATTAAAACCACCCTCCTAATATTGTATAGATTCCCTTTGTGCCGCCACTCTGGTGGATCCTCCGTGGACTGATCAGGACATCCATCAGTGGTTTTAATGTTGTGGCACATTGGCGCATATGTTCCAGCACTGACATAAACAGGAAAATACATACGGTTGCTTAACCTTCTGATTTTGTGTACCAGGTCTGATAATAAAGACCCCATAGAGACCTTAAAGTTTTTAAGGCTACAGCTTCTGCACACCTAAAACAAAAACATAAACAAACACGTAACCTTTTAAAACTACTATAAGAAGACAAAAGAAAGATATACAACATTTACTCAGAAAAATTATTTGGATTTTTATGAAAACAAAGAGGGCCCACACACCCAAATCAGTAGATATATTTTCTTTTATTAAATTCACACAGGCAAATATTACACAGGGGAACCATATTGAGGAAGGTGTTGACAAACTGTGCATCTTCTTCCCTCTAATTGCCTGTGTGAAGTTATTAAAAGACAATATCCACCACGATTATGGTTAAGTGAATTTCTTTTTGCCTACATTACCAATGCTTAATGAAAACAAATAAAGGAAGACATTGGCAATAACAGTTTAGGTAAACATGTATGACTCTCTATGCTAGTTTGCTTCAATTACATTAAATTACTGAATAGAAGTTATTTTAATGTTTAAAAAAAAATACACAGATTGGAATGACTTCCTATAGCACTTGAATAATTTGAATTAGTCTCATTAGTTTCTGCAATATCTGGTCAAATATGTGGTTTTGCATATTTAAGAATACAGCAAGTAACACACACATACACTCACACCGACACACACACACACAAACAGGCCACATTTAGCGCCAATTAAAACTCTCCATTCAAGCTTGAAAATAGGAAGCAAAGAACAGAGTTCAATGCATACGTCAGCCATCTTTTGACAAATTTTTAAGTATTAATTTGTTTTTGTTTTTCTGTATTTGGTGTATAGCTAGGAGTTATTAAAGTTACTCGTTAGAAACCAAGAAACCAGCTTGAACTTTTAGGTTTTAAATGAATCTAATGGTTTCATCAGCTCATCTTTTTCCCAGTTTTCATAAATTCAGAAACCTGCACAATTGTTTCTCCTCCTCCTCATATCGTAGTGCGTCAACTCCTTTTTGGTCCATAGTCCCGTTCTCTTCCACTTCTCGCTATTCCGCCTCCTCTTCCTTCCTTTATCTCTATTTTTCTACTTGTCTGCACTTACTTAATGAGCTCTGGGGTCAGGGTAGGTACTCTCACTGTTGGACATTTGTGTGTAATTGCGTATCGTCATTATACTGTTTAGATTTCTGTGTATGTGTGCATTACTTGATTGGCTGTGTCGGGTCGGTCCGTCGGGTTCTCTGTTCAGACGACAACTGCTCCCACTTAAAATGGAGACTCCAATCAAAACCTGAGAGAGAAAAAGAAAGCATAGGACACGCATTACACAATCCTGAATACAGGGAGAATACTGTATTGCATCAAAGCTTCATTAACTTCACATAAATGCAGAATGAAGATGAAGCAGTGGTGAAACACTGCGACGGGCTGGAGTTGCAGGAGACAAATGGTTAGAAGTTGATTTTCTAAACTTGCTCTGCTTTCTTTAGAATAATCGCATCCTTCAAAAAAAAAACCACACTAAGCCATATTTTCTCTTCATGACACAAGAACAAAGGCTTAAAACTTGCAATAAAATGAAACTTTGTGCAAGAAAGATGGAGGAATTTATAATTAACTGATAACTTGACGATTTACTGTTTTTAATGAATTATTTATTTATTGTTATACTTATATATCTGAAGTCTTTTGAATCATTTCGTTGCCTGTACACCATCTGTTTCTGTATGGGTGGATGTACAAGCAAGTAAACAAGTGTGTACGTGTGTGTATTGCATGGTGTAGGTGTGTGTGCTTGATGACAGCTGCAGGCCAAGGAGTTACTGCAACAGCACTCCTATCCCCGGTGTGTCTGTGTGTGTGTGTGTGTGTGTGTGTGTGTGTGTGTGTGTCTATGTTCACTTCAACATGTGTGTCTATGTATGTGAGTGTCTGGATCAATGAAGTCCATCTTATAACCATCTTTTTTATGCTATGAGCAACGGCTTCATCTATAATTAAAATGCCTTTTATGAGACCAACTATGACCATTGATTCCCCTTTGTGTGTGTGAATATGTATGTGTGTGTGTGTGTGTGTGTGTATGTGTGTGTGCTGGACAGGGCTATTATCAGCATTGATTGGCGGATTGCTGTTACCAAAAGAAGACTGGAATAAGACAAGCTAATGGAAAGAGAGAGGGACTATGAAGCTCTTAGGAGAGATTGACTTCAGAAAAAGTGAAGGATGATAAAGGGAGATGAGACAGAACATTGTGTGTTGTTCTGGCTTATTTTCAGACCATTTAGTCGAGCTAAAAGGAAAAGGCCTCCCCAGGGTTTCTGTTCTACATGATCAGTCTGTGATGCTAAGCGCACTAATGGACGGTCAATGATTCATCCTCAAAACCTGCATCCTCAACTTTCACAGCTATTAGTGATTTCCTGGATTTCAAGATTATTTATTATTGCACAGCACATACAAGTAATTATCTTCATTCTCATATTTCCAAAAGAACGACAGCCTTGAGCTCATGATATTGGACATTTACACTTAAATGCACTCTTTGATTTTGTTCAGTGTGCGTGGGAGTAAGAGGAGCTAGTGTCTGAAAGTACTTCAAGGCCTGGACGGGCATGAAATAATTTGCAATGATTTGTTGTTTTGGTTTAGTTTATTGGCATAACTTAACGACGTATTGTGTCAGACTTTAGAATGGTGAAGCTTTGTTTGTTTTGCTGACCCTGATGTTATTACAGTGCAGCATGTATTCATCAAGTCGCGCATTCAGTGTCTGACATTAAGAAACATTTCGCAAACAGAAAGAAATATATAAAAATAATAGCACAGCAATGTTATTTAATGACAGTTGCCTTCTGAAGCATCACAGCTAGTAGACTGTGTGAATAAAAATGGGAGAGGAGTCAACAGCAGGTCATAGCAACCAAGCATCAACCTCTGGGGCTGGAGAGACTGCACTTCCTCAAATGGCCACTTGAGGCGGCTACAAAAGTGAGTCAATCGCCATAGAGACACCCCCACATTAAACTATAACAGAAACAGACATGTTCACAGCCTGGTACAGAAAAAGGTTTTGGTCTCTATTGCTAACTGCCTCATTCATGACCACGGTACAGAGGGTGGATTCTTATATACCCCACCCATTTTAATTGTATTAGATTTATGCCTTATCAAGGGCGTGGTCGCTTTCAGTGATCGGGGGACGCTGTCATGGGACAGTCTGCCTCAGCTCCACTCCAGCTCCATGTCTTTGCTCATTTGTAGACTAGTGAGCAAAGACAGAGTTAGTATGAGCCCGGCACTGTCAAGATGATGACGACCGCATTCACCAAACGGAGCATAAAACTGCTCTTTAAGAGACTCATGGGTATTTTAATAAGAAAAAAAATCAACCGCTGCACTTAAACAACAGTGACTGAGCAAAAGATGACATTTTGTAAAGACACTATAATTCATTTAGCGTGTTAAATGTATTCTCTGCGGAATTCCTAATACATTTTGGATTCATTTTGGCAATATGGTGAAGTGCATTGTACTGAAATGTGCACATTCATGCCTCAGATGATTTTTGCAGCTGTCTGCCAACCTGACTGATTTCTCAGACATCAACATTTTATAAACCTATAGTATGATTGCATCACCGTATGTGTGTTTCTATGTAAAAGAAGGAGATATTAAATAAAATTTTACAGTGAAAAAAAAAAGAGTGTATATTCAAAGAAACCCTAATATGGTCAAGATATATTAATATATATTTCAAAGATAAAATCATGTTAAAGGAAAGAAACTATTCAGGCTCCCTCGAAGATTCTTCTTGAGCCAAAAAGAACCTTGAGAGTCATTTCCTGGAAAAAAAAAATATTTCAAAGGGCTTTGAGGTTCAATGCAGAGGGAACAGGTTCATGAACTCATCATCAAGCGCCTCCTCATGAATCAGAAACCCTGAGGGGCTTTCTCTCTGTCATCAAAAGACACCCCCGAGGTGCCTCTGAGCCATTTTTATTTCTCTGAGTGTAGATGGAAGAAAGCGTTTCCATACCTCCACGGAGATCAGCAGAGGCTGCCACATAGGCAAAAGTATCCATGTTGATGATGTCGATGACCGGGCTGACCACACGAGTCGAGTCCTGGAAGCACAAAAACACACACACACACACATTTATGCCAGGTTAGGGCTTTAAAGGAAAAGGGGAGAGATGCCAAAGAAAGAGAAAGAAAACAAAAAGAAAACAGAAAGAAAAGAAATCATAAGAAATACAAAATAAAAGAAAGAGTAGAAGAGAAAATAAAAAGGTGAATGTGCTCCTTCGTGTGGGTCATCAAATTCTATTCCAATAAATGAGATTTTCAGTCCAATGTGTGTTCATCTGTGTGTAAAACAGACTGCGTATCCCAAGGTCATTATACTGCACTACACTAAAAGTAATTTCAGTCATTCAGCACCAATCATGCACACAGCACATTTACTGAGGTGAGAGTGACCGCTACCTCTATTCACTTTAATTCAGTCCCATTTTATTCACTTTACTAACATTAATGTCAGACTATTGAGCCATACGAATTCAAGAAAATACAGAAATCTCTTTCAAATGAAAGCCGCATTCATTAAGGAGAAGCCAAAGAAATTATCAACACACTGAACACAGAGTTACCAAAGGCAAACACACAAGGACGTTATGAAATTCAATACTTGTTAGGGTTTTACTTCTTGAGAGTTTTGAGGTATTTCTTTGTATTTATGCTGGAGATATGCAGGGTAAGAAGACTGGATTGGAATTTATATATCAAAACGGTTCTTATATCTAAATCGCCTGACTTGCAGTAGCTGTTCTGCTAATATACCTACATGTTTATTCTAGTAAAGCATCCACAGAGTTAAACTTGCACCACAAATATGCCTTCAGACTGATATAATACAGTGAAAAAGTGTCATTTGTACGTCAAAATCCTAGCACCTGGGAAGTAATCAACTAGTTATGGCTGGAGAGTATTTTATGAGATTATTTGCAGTATGATGTCATCTTAGCAATTCTTGTGCTTACCCTTTAATTAACATCATTTTCTGGTTTGCTCCACAGATGATACACTTTCTCGAGCAACAAGCAAGCTGCTATCTGCCCACTCAGTTCTTCAGTTTACATCTATTGCCTGTATCTGTTTCACAGCATACGATTTGCAGCATTGCTAAGAATTATTACAGCATAAAGGCGCTTTTATTAATAGTTTCAGGTTTCGGGTTACAGGTTTCAATGTCAGGTTCTAATAAGCTAAGATTTAAAAACTCTCGAGAGAATTGCTGGTTTACTCTGCCCACAGGAGAGGAACAAAAAAATAAATGTACCAAAAGCTATTCCTTACAGTACGAGAACAAAACAGGCGAGTAGGCATTGCATTCCTTCCTCCCTTCTGAAAGTCATACTATCAACGACTATTTACAGGAATCAAACCAGAAGGGCTGCAGGATAAAGAAGTTGGTTTGTGAAGTGGGAAAACTTTTTAATGTGGATACTTTAACCTTTATGTAGATCAGAAAAGTATTGCTTTTCTATTTTTGACTGGTCATCAAAGATATGGTACTGTTTTATACATATCTAAATCACAGAATCCCAATGGCTACACATCACCAAAGTTGTATAACATGGAGAACTATCTAGTATCAATACAACAAAAATGCCCATATCCCTCAACCCAGTGTAATCATCCATAAGGCAATAAGACTCTTATAGATTTAGTTTAGTTATAGCCTCCTTAACCCTTAAACAGGGTCCTAAATCCTCTTAAAGTGAGAACTGGCAAAAAGTCTGCACTTGATTTCCCTCATATTTCTACCTTGATGGCACCATTTGCTCTTTACAAGGATAAAAGGTATAAAAATCTCTCACACACACACCCACACGCACTAGTACTGCCAGACTTGCGCTCCCTGTTAAATCATGGAGTGTACCTCTATTAGTTTGGTCAAACGGCTGGATGCGTCTTCAGCCAGTGATATTACAGAGCAGGTGGAGCGGTTCTGGACCATTAGCTGCAGGGTCAGTGCAAGGGGACGCGGGCTGCATCCTTCTACAGCTCCAGCCACATTACAAAGCACTGTGTCTGCTTTAATAGCTGTTAGGGTAATGACACTGTGCAGCACTCAGGGTGAAGCATTCGCGACATTACTGTTGTAATTGGATGAGTGTTATTTTCAAATCACTCTGGAGCAGTTTCTTAATTTTAGCTATTTCTTTTTCTTCCACCTGATTTGAAATGAGAGCATTTGATGGCTGAGCTGAGGAGGAAGTGACCCCAAAACAATCTGCGTCATCCTTCATGCATCTCTCCTGTATTACTTCTACTTTAATGGTTTCACACTTGTAGTTTGTTAAGGTGGAACTTTTAATCATTTATTGGAGCGCATCTTGTGTATGTTTTGATATGTTCTATACAGTGTGATGTAATAATTCTTCATTTTACATTAAAAGATGAGCTCAGGCAGAGGAGTCTATCGGTTTTCTGTCGTTTTTGTTTTCAGTTTCAGCCAGAGCACTAGACTATTGATAAGACTTGTTTTCACTTCAGTGGGAAAGCTAAACCATTATTCAAAAATAAAAAGAACTCCAGCTTTACTGCACTTTTACAACATTTTATCTTTGGATCTTTTAGTATCGTATAATGGCAGTGCTGGTGTTCGCTGCAGTTCTGGCTCACAGATAGCTCTCCGTCTACACCTGCAGCTGCTGCTTCTCTGCTGCTGCAATTACGTTTCTTTCCTTTTACCGTACTTTACTTTTAAAACGCTAAAAATATCACCCCTGTACTTTCTTGAAGACCTCCTCAAACGGAAATCGAGTCTTTTTCCCTTGTTAACATGTCTATGGGGTATTTTTTTTAATGCTTGAAAACACATCATGAGCAAAACAAACAGCCAATGCCAATGCTGTGAGTGAAACTGTGAGTGTACAGGTGACAGTCTTAGGGAACATGGATTCAGAACTCCAGGGTTTCATACATAACAAGCCTAAAGAATCAATCATGTCAACTTGCAGGGTGAAACTCTCTGAATCATTATTCTTCTCCAGAATTGGTTTCAGGTTCAAACACATGTGACTGAACGAATCCAATATTACACCTTGCCATTGTGTAACAGAGAAGTATTACAGCGTTGAAGAGTTCTAACAGAGTCGTAGGGGAGCTGGTGCTGCATGTGGATGTCCACACAGAACCTCACAGAATTGGGTATAGTCTCATAATACCAAAACTCTGACTTTATGTGATACCTGCCTAAAGATATGTATATTAATACTGAAACAACACCACAGAAAATGAAATAATGGAATAACATACAGCATCACAGCAAACCTAAAATGTGTTGCTCTTTTATTATTTAAAAAGGAAAAAAACGAAAAGCCTTTGGCAACGTCAATGCAAAGCAATGGAGTATATAAAGCCATAACACACCAGAATAATGAATTATTCTACCATCATGTGTTCATACATTTTCATAATAAAAATAATAATAATACATTTTATTTGTAAGTGCCTTTCTTGATACAACAGAACAGATAAAAACTATTGATGAAGACAGTCATTCTCTTTCACTTTGATGATGATGAAGAACGTCATTCTCTTTTATTTTGATGATGATGAAGAACGTTCTCTTTTCTTTTGATTGTCACCAGACCCTTTGATTCCATCACCTTTCGTCATATGTTCTCCTACCTCCTGTCACAGACCCCCAATTCCACCACCTTTTGTTCATTGTTCTCTTGCCTCCTGTCATTAATTAGCAACTGCATACTAACTAACCACTATTCACTATGGTATTTGCATACAGGCCCTCCCTACCCTCTGACATTCCCTATGAACGGTGTAACACTGCAAATGTTGAGGGTCGGTTTACCATCACAGACTCTTGCTCTGTGTTGCTAAGCCCACTGTATAATGAACACCCACTACACTACAGCAAACTTCACATGAGGACTATGGGTAAAATTTCTTCAACACTATACGTACATAAAAAAGGCGTTACAAAGAATAAACAGTTTTGAACAGGTGAGTTTTGAGTCTAGATTTGAAGAAAGGGAGAGACTCAAACTTTACGGATGTCCAGTGGGAGTGAGTTCCAGAGTTGCTGAGGCGGGAGGAGAGCACTGTGAGATGGATGGAAGATGAGGATCTGAGAGAGCGGGTGGAAGAGACGATGTGAAGGAGATCAGACAGATAGGGAAGGGCGAGGTTGTGGATGGCCTTGAATGTATACAGGAGGATTTTGAATTTGATTCTGGATTTGACAGAGAGCCAGTGAAGCTGCTGTAGGACGGGGGGTGATGCAAGCAGCTGAGCTCTGTACCAGTTCAATTTTATGGACGGATTTTTGAGGGAGACCAAAAAGGAGAGAATTACAAAAGTCAATGTGGGAAGTGACGAGGCTGTGGACAAGGATAGAAGCAGTATGGAGGGGTGAGGGAGGGACGATTGATGTTGTGGAGGTGGAAATATGCAGACTGGGTGATGTTATTGATGTGAGATGGGAAGGAAAGTAAGGAACTGAGGATGACACCCAGACTCTTAACCTGAAGGGAGGAGAAACTGAGGAGCCGTCAATGGAGAAGGAAAAACTGTCACTGTTGGATTGTGCAGACTCTGTGCCAATGAGAGGAATCTCTGTGTTGTCACTGTTTAGTCTAAGAAGGTTAGAGGTGAACCAGAAGTTTATTTCAGATAGGCAGTTGGTGAGGGAGGAGGGTGGGAGGCTGGAGTTGTGTTTACTGGACAGGTAAAGCATATCCATATCCAACCAGAACTACAGGAACTCTTCATTAACATGAACTCTTTACATGTTTACACCTCTCCAAATTCGCAAGTCACTGCTGCAGTTAAATCCTTGCAGAGAAAAGCACAGCAGTACTTCAGTTCATGTTTTAACCCTCACTTTCAATCTTTCTGTAGGAATTCACTTGACCTTTGATAACTGCTGTTGCTGATCTACACATGTGTGATTTTTAGCAACTCGCAGCAATGCGAGCTAACATTACCAGTGTAAATGCTGAGTTAGCATTTGGAGATGTAAGTTAGCTAAAAAGACAAAAACCTAATTAAACCGTTATTAGTCCTAAATTGCCTCGTCAGACCCTGTTGGTGTCACATATTTCAGTTTTAAGTTATGTATCACATTCGTTAACCTGCCATTTTTTGGACTCTTTGTCCTGTCTGTCAGCTTTAGATGCTCCACTAAGGTGGATGTGTTGGCAACTGCAAACACACACTGTTGCAGATGGACCAAAATCATTAAAAATGCTTCTCTTAATGAAATTGATGAATAAACGTATTGGTACTAGTAAAACACACTTTAGTAACATTTATAGTGGCAAAGTATTCCAGTACTTTTCTAGTATCGGTGAAGTGTGCAACTCTACTTGAGTGAAATTCCTGTTAAGTGGACTATAGGGGACCCTTTAAAAAGTTTAAGACTGGCCGGAGCCTGACAATTGATGTGTAATCATCTACCAACGAGTATAAGAAGAAGAAATGCTAAACTTTAATGTGATGGATATGGGTTGAGTCACAACTGAACTGAACCAATTATTGGTAAAGAACAGGGAAATTGGTATTTATTCAAATGAGAATGCTGCAGATTTTTTCTTATTCTGAATCAGCGCCCTGACAATAAAATGACCACACAATAACTACTTGGCATGGCTGGTGAAAGGTTTTGTTCATTCAACGGCGACAAATCCCAGCGGTCTTAGTTTCTTTTTGGCATCGACTATTTTCTGCTTCTGAAGGGAGACGTGACAGAAAAAGTTTGAAAACCGCTGGGTTAAATGAAAGAAACCCCGTGTGATAAAACACACGAAGCAATGAAAGCTAGTAGAACAGATGATGACCTGAAAGTCAGGCAAGACTTCAGCTCACTATATCAGTGAGACAGACAATTATTTTTAGGGGAATAGGATTTTATGGTGGTCTGGAGTTTTGCCTGTGTGTGTGTGTTAACCTGGATCAATACCTCATACGTTTAAATCTTAATATATGACTATAAAGTGACTGGACAGACAGTGACGGATGACTCTCGTGCATGAAAACACACTCAACCCGTGAGTATGAATATGGATGATGTTGGTATAGCAGCGAAAACAGAGCAGACAGACTCTCTGGTGGATTTACTTATTGATCACTGCTCTACGGATTGAGATCAAAGGTCTTTAATATCAGCAGAAGAACAGTTGACTTGGTAAATTGGAGAAGCAGAAGACGAGTGCGAAAATTAAGAGATGAGGAAAGGAGAGGGCAGAATGTGTGAGATGAGAGAGGTCGGAAAAGACGATGGAAGAAAAAAGGGTGGGGTGAGGTTTTAAGAAAAGGTAGGGGAGGAGAGGAGATGGGAAGAGAGGGGAAAGGAAGGGCAGATGTAAAGAGAAAAGTGCAGAAGTAGAGTGTATAAGGTGAGAAGGCTGACGAGGAAGAGGTGGATTAAGAAAAGAAAAGATCAAGATCAAAGATTGCTGGAGTTGAGTGCAAACAGACAAAAGGGGAAAGGGGGGTAAAAAAAAGAGAATAAATGCAAGACAAGTGAAGAGGTGCCAGACAAGGGGAAGCAGGAGACAAGACAAGAACGTGACAGGCAATCAGAGGAAGTGAGGAGAGGAGTCAGGAAAGGTGACAGAGTAAAAGTAAAGGACGCGAGAGAAGAAAGGAGGAGAAATGGTGGTCTAATGACAGGGCAGAAAAGGAGACAAGGGAAGAGGGTGTAGGAGAAGAAGGCTAAAGAAAAGGTTAGAGGAGAGCCACAAAAAGGAGACAAGGTGATAACAGGGTGGATGAAGTGGTAACAAGTGACAGAGGAGGTCAGGACAGAGGAGAATGAAGAAGAGGAGGTGAGAGGAGACAATAGGGGTGACAAGAGAGAAGATGAAGATGAAGATGAGGAGGAGGAGGAGGAAGAGGAGAGACACAAACAGAGGAGAGCAGACGGGTGAGTGGGGTGAAGGAGAGAGTGCAGCACTTATTTCTTAATGAGAGGCAATCAGACCGACAGCTATTTTCTCTCATGGTGCGATTTCACCTCAACCACTGGAGTCATCACACACACACAGAAACACACAAAGACTTTTCGTGGTGCACTAAAGAGCTCCGGATTTTTTAAGACAGACCTTGAAGTTGTTGGTGCTCATGATCCCCTTCACATACAAGGTGTGTCAGAAAAGTTCCAGGACTGGTGTCACTAAAGATATCTTTCAAATTCAAACTACAAACTACAAGTTTTCCGCTTCCAAGTGATCCCCCTGGAGTCTAACACATTTCCCCAGCCTTCTCTGCCACGCCACCATTCACTCCAGGATCCTCTACAGCTCCATCGTCACAGCCATCCTGATGTCATCCACGTCTTCAAAGCGGGTCCCCTTGATGACCCCCTTGAGCTTGGGGAAGAGGAAAAAATCCCACGGAGCCAGGTGGGGTGAGTAGGGAGGTTGCTCCAGCACGGCGATGATCTTCTCAGTCAGGAACTGTGGGATGTTCAGGGCATTGTGAGCAGGCGCGTTGTCATGGTGAAGCAGCCACGACTTGTTCTGCCACAACTCTCGCTTGTTCTGGTGCATTGAACGAAGCAAACGCTGCAGGATCTCTTTGTAGACGTGCTGGTTGATCGTCTGAAGGGAAAACTCATAATTTGGGTTTGAAATATATTTTTGTGACACCAGTCCTGGAACCTTTCTGAAACACCTCATACATGTGCATCTCTTAGAAACATTTCTCTTCAAAATTTGAGACGTGATGGGTAAGAGGATTGTGAATTAGGATTAGAAGAGTCTCACACACTTGTTGTCGTTCTGTTTGTTGATGATAGTTGAGTGGTGTTCTACCTGTTTGATCCTCTGCAGGAGCGGGGGCAGCCAGTCCTTGTTGACCTCACAGTGGCTGTCCAGGAAGGTGAGCACTCTGGCCCTCGCAGCATCAGCACCCCGCACTCTGGACCTGATCAGACCTGACACACAAACAAGCTGCCTTTACAAAGCTTCATACATATTTACACACAGACACACATGTTTAACTGAACTGTTTAAGCTTATAACCACACGTTTCAGCCTAAAAGTCCTCAGAAACAGTTCAATCATATCACTGACACTAACAAGGCAAATGGAACGTTTCTGATAAACCGAAGAAATAATCAATAGAAATATTGTGTACAAGAGTCACATATAACTGGTAAATTCATAATCCAGTGTGTAATTTGTTTAACCTGAGACACAAAAAAACACATTAAGATCATTTTTGTTTGCTGTAGCATCCTCCTCTTGATAAGTAGACAAAAAAAAACCCTAATATTTGTGGTATAATATAATATTAAAAACATCTTTTACAACCAAATATATGAATAGGATTGCAGTGAATTTTCACCTGGAGGGCTTGAGTTTGAGTCCCCTCTGCACCCATTCTTATAATATTCTATTTTAAGTTGTTACCTTTTGAGTTTTGCTTTTGTTTGGTTCAGTTTAGACAACAAAACCTGCTGAGATATTAAAAAAAAGGATCATGGTTTGGTCAAAGGTCCCACATTGTTGCTTTTTCTGCAAATGAATCCAGGTCTCACACTACTGAGATGGTTCAGCTCACCATGACTGTGTAACTCCTGGGTTTAGGGCTCTTCTAAATGGGTTGTTTTTTTCCTGAAAGCCAATTAGCTGCTGCTGTTCTCACATCCTTCAGGAAGAACACGCTGTCAATCCCAGTTTGAGCTAATCGAATTCTAACTGGCTTGTAAAGCTGGGAGGCTAACTAGTTTTTTGGGGGGTTAAGGAATGGCAGTAGTAAACATCCTCATTTTTAACAGCTTTTATTTTACAACTCCAACTTTATAACAACCACAAAACACAAGCAGAATGGATTTTCACCATATGGGACCTTTAAAAGACACAACAAATGTTTTGTATGTTTATGGGATAATGATTCCACTGGATGTTTTACATGCACTGGGATAACTGGAAGAGGTGATCAATGTTTTCAGGGTTGTCTTTCAATGATCAGAATGGATGAAAACGTGCCCACTGAGCCTTCTAGGTGATGAGGGAGGTCCCTGCTGGCCCATATGTATGGAAACAATCTACCACCACAGCAGTGTGATGATGTCTGAATCGAGTGAACTCTGACAAGCAGTCCCGATTCACATTGGTAACTTTCCCAGGGAGTATTTATTCCTCGTACACCGTGTGTGTTCATACATACGTTAACTTCCAAACGTTATACACACGCGCTTGGATGCAGTTGATATTGAACATAAAGCCTCACAGCCGTCAGGGCTTCTTTCTGCTAAATTGAAATCCTCCACTTTGCCTGCTGAAATTGATTCTTTTCAGGGCGGCAGATCGGATAAGACAGTATATATTCAAGTTTCACGCTCACAAGCTGTGACTATCAGTTAAACACACACAACCTCCATCGTCCTCCTACAAACACACACATACCTCCAGTCAAAGCCGCAGTAGGAAATAAAGGAAAACATATATTTTTTTTAGTATTGGTGAGGACGGAACCCTTAACCTTGGCAGTATTAGTGCCTTGCTCTGTTTATTGACGTCCACTCTCTCCCTTTCTCCTTCTTTCTCACTGTAGCTCGCTCGCTCTAGCAGTCAGTCAGCACAGGGGAAAATCGATGCAGGGCTCTTAGAGGTCCTGTCAGACATGGACACAACCTTTTAACAGGCGCATCACACTCTGCATGTGTGTGTCTATGTGTGTCCACTCTTAAAGAGGAGGGAGAGAAAAGCGAAGAAGTCGTGGGTCGTGTCGAGGAAAGCAAATGTGTGCGTCGGCTGATTGCAGTTGTGTTTTAGTAAGGAAGAGAGAGACGGCGAGTGTGTGTTTGTGTGTAAATGAGCCTGTTAGGGAGGTCTCCCTGATGGGGGCCAGTGTTCTCTTCTATTTGGACTAAATGGTCTAATCAATACTCCCTGACATGGAGACATAGTGTGTGTGTGGGAGTGCTTGCTCTTTTCAATAAGTGTGTACACATGTGCGAGGGTGTGTGTGTGTGTGTGTGTGTCATATTGTGTGTGAGTTACCATGACTGTGCGTGGGTCCATTGTGAGTGTGTGTGTCGGTGACATTGTACGAGGGGCCGTGAAGTTTCACACGGCGCCGTTAGGCCGAGGCTCAGCCAATTAAAAATCCCATTTCATCCTCAATAAGGCTTTATTTTCTGGATGGATGGACACACACACATAGACACACACACACACATAAACTGGACCCATGCACGTGTAGACACACACGGATTCAAGCACACACTGATGGAGGTGGACGCTCATTTACTAATACACACACACACACACACACACAATGCAGGGCAGGCTGACTTTGCACAGAGGAGAGAGTGTTAATCTACATCGATAACTCTTAACTGTCTGCACCTACCAGCTGTGTGTGTGTTTGTGTGTGTGTGTGTGTGTCTGTGTTTGTGTGCTTGAATTTTTAGTTCAAAATCACTGTAGTGATGACATTTTGGTGGGTTCTCACAACTTGTAGAGGATTAAGACAGGGTTTAAAGGGTTAAAGTTAGGGTCATGCCCCAGCCTGAACAACGACTGAACAGAGGTGTTTCAAACCAGGTATTAAACTAAATCCTCTAATTTCTCTGTTTGGGCTCATCCTAGAAGAAGGTACGATTAACAGTCACAATATTCTGCATGTTGTTGGTTTACATTCTAGAAAGTTGGAACATTGGAAACAGCTTTTCTTACACGGTAAGGAAAACTGATCATGGGATAAAACTTGTACAAAATGATGTATACTGAAAAAAAAGTTTTCTGTTCACTGTAAAAGCTGCTTGTGTTTCTCCTTTGAGAAACTAGACAAACTCTGTTATTCTCCATATCCTATACAATATTAAATTTACCAACAACCCAGCAACGTGTCTTTGTGTTTTTTTTACTTATACAGTAACAGCAATTTTCCACGTCAACATGTTTGGCAAAAAACTTGAGAAAATCAGATACTCACTTCAACATTCACATCGGAAACTAAATCTAGCCAGACGTAAATGCAATGAATGCTTAGTTATCAGTTGCAACAAGCCATCACTACACACTGTTTACTCACACGTTGCATGTCCTTGATGTGGAGGCATCTATACACTACATAAATATGCTTTGTTTGCTTCGTTTGTGTTTACTGTTGCTCTGTTTATGTGTTGGCGTTGCGAGCAGCTGCTGGTATTATTTACTCATGCTTGTTTCTCACTCAGCCTGAAAAATTAAACAACACTCCACTTTTTTTAAAGTCCTGAATAATACCTCAATAAAAAGATTTAGATTTTAAAAAGTCACTGTTAGGATTAGTATCATGTTTAGTTGTAAGGGGCAAGAGAATGCCTAATATTACTGTCAACTATGCAACACCACTAAAGAACGCTAGGAAAGGTGTGTGTTTGGGTGTGTTATTGATCTTTAACCTTCTGAAGCCCAGAACCAATCAGCAGGTTTTAAAGGTGTGTTATTTTTTTTGTTTTTACATAAATCCTCAAAATTGCACCATTTATCAGAGCCAGAAACCGTAAAAAAAAAGTTATTTTATCAAAATCCCTTTATTCGATTCAGTCTCATATAATAATTTGACCAAATTCTGTAAATAAAACAAAAGAATCAGCCAACTACGGACTCAGCTGTGACCAACAGTGACAAATATTCTGAAACCTTTGGGCTGAAATGCAGGCTGTGCGTACGCAGAGCAGAAAGAAAACTTGAGTGGAAACAAACAAAAAGAAATCAAAGAAATTCAACTTCATTTTTTTTATATACATCATTTTTGGCATTATAACTTTGTCACACTGCACATAATACATTTCTGTGCTCGCTCTACTTCTAGAAAGAGGACTTTAATAGGACTTTAACTTGCACCCAGAAATTGCTTGGGGCTCAGTGGGTTAAAGTTTGTGAATACCAGACAGAATCATAGGGAGTAAGACATTTCGTCTGGTTATTGATTGACCTGAATGGCTGTGTATGCTTAAAATTAACTAGCTGATGTTCTGAATGGCAACACTTGAAGGTGGCATGAAGAGCCAAGCATCACGGAGAGAAGCCAGACATAATGAATAGATCAGTTGGGGATAATGGTGCACACTCTCCACAGAAGCATTTATGTCGATGTATTTGGTTGCAGACTTTTAAGGAAATGTGTGACTAATGATAGTGGAGACTTTGAGTGAGGAGTTCAAACCCTGTTTACTTTCTCTGCGCTGCATGAAGTGGGCTTGATTGGTGTGATTGTTGGATTGTTCGTTTCAGAAAACTACCAAAATTGCAGGGCACAGCCCTCCTACTTCCAAAGCTAGAAAGGTGTCGATATTGTTTAACAATTCATCGGGCACTTTGTATGAATCATACTGATGCCTTTAACGGCATGTCTACAGACGAGGCATTCCAGGCCTTACTTTTAACTAGCTGTTCTATACATGTCAGAAGGAATGGATTTTTTTTTTTTAGCTTCAAGGCTATTTTCCTCATTTAAGAGCCAAAGTGAAAGTTTGCAAAAAAGACAAAGAACTTAGGTTTCTGGGAAGTTTTGAGCTCAATTGAGTCTGGGCCATAATACAAGCACATAAACAGGCTCATTCCACACACACAGTACATTTATAAGCCAACAAGGGCATCTGTATCGTTGGCACATTGGCTGTTCAAAACAAATAGATACGAACTACAAAAACTTCCACCCTTTAGAATTTGGTTTGGGTAATCTGAAACAACCTTTACATTGGGTTTAGGTTAATGTAACTTTAAGGGGCTGAGCAATGCATTATGTCGACGAGTGTCCTCACAAGTGTGTAAGACGAAATGTGTGTGTGTTTCGGAGAAGACATACAGTATCAGCCTGGTGTGTTTTTATGGCCATTAAAAAGACAATCAAGTCAGAAAGCCTGAAGCTATAAACTATTAACTAGCCGAACTGATGAACCCTGCCTCTGTGTGTGTGTGTGTGTGTGTGTGTGTGTGATCAGCATGACTGTGCTATAATGAAATCCTTCAGTGACAGCATGTAGGACAAGTATTCCTGTTGTTACAGAGAGAGATGGAGAGGAGGGCGAGCGCGAGTGAAAACAGCTATAAAGTACGAACAACAAATTGAGTTAGAAAGATAAAATATGAAATATACGAAAAATAAAGTACGAGACGTGCAGGAAGAGGGAGGAAGAGAGGAAGGAGCAGAAAAAGGCAGAACAGAGAGATATTAGTGGAGTTAAGTGGTCTGAAGACTCATAATTCAGACATTTTAATGCAGTAATCTCAGGTCAACTGGAACTGCTCTCAACAAGGCAACAACAAGCATGTTCAAAGTGGTGTCTGAGTGTTTTCTACTTTAGTTTTTCCCTGTGAGAATGCTTTTGATCTCACGCGGCAATAAGACGTCTGAAAATGTCTCAATCTGTCACTTTCCAGGGGAACTGTACAGATGTTAGTTGATAGTGAGAACATAATCTGCACCATCCACAGATGATGCTCAGATAGAGGAGTTATTGTGAAGCTGTAGGAGTGTTCACACTCAGGGGCACCGTTCACAGTGGCTATTATCTGAAATGGTTTTAAATGTCAGTATTTCTGTGGTATATAAATGACTGTTGGTGTCGTAATTGTGGATGTTTACTTGTACGAATGAGCAGAACTAACAGACTCCTGTAATTAGAGTGCTGTCAGTTTCTAACAGCGTAGTTCCTGTTCCGTGAATAAATCTTACATTTCACGTGGAACATGCAGCTTTCAAAAGGAGCGCTTTCAAAAGATCGTAGCAGTGGGCTGTCATGCTTTTTATATCCATGTCAAACATGATGGGGGAAAAAAGGGCAATGCAGGGCCAGATGGGACTTTTGATGCTAACACTACATCTGAGATGAGCTTTAGCTGTCTTGTTTTTTTGTAATTTTTGTTTCATAGTGTGCTTATGATCTATATGCTGTTTATTATCATTTTATTCTTTAATTGGCTCACATTCAGCTTCTGCAAAGTGACTGTCAGTCTTCCTAGGGTCCAATTATTGTTATTTATAGCAGGTAATGGGTAATACCCATAAGTTGTACATGACTGCATTGGATGACGTTGGTGCTAATGGCATGTCCACAAAGAAGGCTGATAGAACAGATACGCTTTTGGTTTAATCCGTCTATGCCAGGAGTCGGCAACCCGCGGCTCCGGAGCCGCATGTGGCTCTTTCATACCTCTGCTACGGCTCCTTGTGGCTTTGGACAATAAATAATCAGTATTTAATTTTATTTATTTATTTTTTTCAGTTAGTTAGTTTTTAAAATGCAATCTGAATTTGAAGATTATGGTGATCTTGTAACATTAAAATAAAGTGTGTTTAACTTTTTGTCGCTCAAATATGTGTCATACCCTCTGGCATGCACAGTGTTGCCAACTTGGTGACTTTTTCGCTAAATCTGGAAACTTTCCAAATCCTCTTGGCGACTTTTTTTTTTTGTCAAAAGTGACTAGAGACAAATCTAACGACTCCTTTTGGTGTTAATGGAGATTTTTCTGGTGTTTTGGAGACTCTGACGTGAAAACACGTATCATTGTGCAGTTACTGTCCTCAGCGAGCTGCGGTGCTGCGTGAGCTGTTCCCATTGATGGTCCCAGCTGCAGTCAGCAGGACAACCAGACGACATTTTGACGTTGATGCAGGTGGAAAATTGAACTTCTGCTTTTTATTTCATATATACAAGGAGGATTCAAATAGACACTGTTTTATTTGAAAGTAGCCTTCAACCTCTTCTTTTTTCAAAATGTTTTTGTTGCATTCAGAAATAAAATTTCGTTTTCTCTGTAGCAGTTCATTGATTTCATAAACGCAGCACACTACAGCTTTTATACATAGCATTAACGTAAAAATGATATATGCTATCTGTGTTATCTGCATTTTAAATGTCAAAAGGGTTTTGTGGCTCCCGTTGTTTTCTTGTCTGTGGGAAACAGGTCCAAATGACTCTGAGTGTTGAAGGTTGCCGAGCCCTGGTCTATGCAGACTGCACAATACCTTACATCCATAAGCATGACCCAAATCGTGCTTTGACACATCACCTGCCCTTTAATCAATACTATCAATACCCCATACAGGCAGTGAACCTGAATACATCCTGTGTAGGTGAAGCTCTGCTGCTCTGCCAACATACTGCTCTCTGCCTCTTGTGTAGACACAAGAAGATAAACATTGACACAAATTGGCACAAAGATTCAAATTGAACAAAAAAAAAATATTAGCTGTGAATTTACACAATGTTAATCAATTTGAAAACATACATAATTAAACAGTAAAACTTCTTGAGATTTTCTGTCACTCGTGCTGCTAGGCAACGTCAAGCTAAACAGGAAGGAGTTCACAAGCTCTGACCAGGAATTTTAATGATCCAGAAAATATTATTCAAAGTCTTCCCGGCAAAGACAGAATCACATAGCACTCTTTGTCTAACACATGTAGCTGCCACTGTCTCCCTCCTCTGTCACAAACTCATCTCTCGTGTGGTCAGCTAACATCTCCTGTGTCTGCTACAGCTTCTGCTACGATGGTTGTGAAGTCATCATAGATTGCACAAAAAAACTGACAAATCCTCCGAGACGTCACCCTGAACGGCAGTTTTGAAACTCCAGCTGTCGCCATGATGGCAGTGCCTAACTTCTCTTGATTCCTGGCTAATCCAAAAATGAGCAACAAGCTGGAGCATGAGTGAAGCTGAGGCAGGCCGTGCTAGTGTCTCCAGGCCATAAACTGTCCTGTGACTGTAGCCACCTGTCACTCAGAGCAGCCATGCCATTAGCTATGCATACCTTTAAGCCTTAATACAGTTAAAGCGGTAAGTTCTGGGGAAATTCCCTCCCCATACAGTTGTCATGCACAGAGGAATTAGCTGTACAGACCAGACATGTGTTTTGTACCAGGCTGTCAACATGTTTATGTTTGCTATACATTTGGGCATTTCACTGTTAGGGTTTATGGAGACTGACTCACTTTTGGAGTCACCCTCAAGTAGCCATTTGAGTTTCAGACACTTCAGCACTGGCTTCATTCTTCCGCCGAACAGGAAGTTTAAAGTACAGTAATTGTTCAAACAAGGTCACCTCAAAGCAATTGGCTGTGTTCTGAATTTATTCAATCAAATGTCAATTAGCAAAGTGGAAAAACACAAAAACAGGTTTTGGTAGCTGGAATGAAAAACAAGATCTTAATTAGGCTGTTTGGTCTGTCTTGACTAAATTAAATTAGTGAAGCAATTTAACTTGATTTCACTTTTTTTATCGCATTTTTAAAGGCTGCTTTACATGTAGAAATATGCCATGTTTTTCACTTTTCTGGCACTTGCTTTTACTGTGCATTAAACTTGGATTCATTTTAGAAAATAACCAAAATAACAAAAAAAAAAAAACGGCAGATCCTGTGAAACTTCTTCATAATTCTTCCTAAATGTGGAATACTCTGTAGCAATGACTTAAAATCATCCCCAACATGCCACCTCCACTGTTTTTCCAAAGAATAATGAAATGTTCTGCAAGTCCTGAGCATTTAATACCGCTCTCAACTCCTTTAAACTCCTGTACATGCGTCCAGAATCATCCGCAGTGGGATTAGATGCGTCTTTTCAAACCTTTTTCTGGCCCTTAACCATGCTTTTAGTTCCCAAAATGCTCATGACCCTATCACATTGTTAAGCTGTCATGTTAATTTGCGTTTTGCATTCATTTACATTCTATATTTAAGAGCATGGAGGCAGCTCCAAATGGATTATATAGAAAAATGATAAGCATGGCCATGACGCATGGCTGTATTAACCATTAAAATGAGGAACAACATCCATATTTAGTGTGACTGAGGTATTAACTCAACTCTGGTTGTCATTTGTGATTTTGGCAAGTTAGTTATGAATTTTGCAGGGGTCTTTTTTTTTTTTTTTGCATTTTTGAAAAAGGAAGTCAAATTTTAGCTTGTGGTCTTTCTTTTGAATTTGAGGTATGTTTGGTTTGGGATTGTGGCAGACAGTTTCCTTTCAGTGACATTTTTTAATGATAGTCTGCTTCTCTGAGCTCTATTTCAGTAGCAGCTCCTGTCACTTCAATTCACTTCAGGTCATTTCAATTCTGTAGCTCCATATGTAGCCAGAGATGAATGAATCAATTTCACTTCACTCACTGTCTGTCTGTATGTGTGTGCGTGAATATATGGGGATGTTTAGGCAGCGGGATGAAAAGGCCAGAGGGTTTTCATTAACACCAGGCAAATTTAAATTCTTTACACACATTACAAAACCTTTGAACACACAGACGCACACACATGTGTGTATGGTATACCACTGACAAATAACACTAAAACACCTACAAAGGCAGTGTGCATAATTACACATGCAAATTTATACACACGAACCTGTTAAAAATGCTAATGCAAACTTTCACACAGACAAAAACACACAGAAATGTTGCCATACCTTCTCTCTTCTTGTTGCGAAGACATTTTACTTTGGGCAGTTTGGTGAGAAGCTGGCAGTCACTTTCTAAAAAAAAAAAAAAAGAGAGAGAGAGAAGAAGAAGAAGAAAAACAGCATGAATGGATTATGAAAAATATATAATTGAACAGAATATCGTGTGCTGTGTAATATATATCTTGATCATTTCTCTAAGACTCTGCAGGGCAATTAGCAGCTCATTGAAAAACTCTTCAGCAGCAGGACGACAATTCAAAGCTTTCAGTTTGACAAGGCAGACATTTGTCTTGTTGCTGCTCAGCCGACTGTGTGCTCCCTGCTGAATTTTTGAGTTGTATTAATATATTATTTTAAATATAACTGTCTGCTGTTCAAAAAAAATAAAAAATACTCTAGTGGAAAGTGTCAAAATGAAAAGAAGAAAAGGAAAAAACAGAATCAGTGGGATATGAGTCATTTACAGAAGTGAAATTACTATTTAATACATGTTTTGGAGCAACAATGGTATTTGAAAATGATGCCTGTACTTACGATATCAAAGCTGGATTCAATAGAGTTTCATTATTTTGGTAAGTACAACCTTGAAGTCAATTATTAAAATAATGATGGAAGATGGAGAAGACTGAGAAAGAATTGATAGAGAAATTTTCTACAATTGAGAAGATTCAACACACTGGAAAAATGGCACTGTTACGTTTTTATAAGGTTCGTCATTATATCAGTAATTATGTCTTCTTATGCTTCATTACATGCTTTAGCACAAAGGTGTTGGCAGAGTAAATTACAACTTAATGAGTAGTTTTGCTCAAGGTATAGATAATTTTCTTCACACTTAATTGTTATTGAGGTCTCTTTACGATTGTATTATGAAAAGAACACATACAAAAAGGGTTTTTTTTGGTTTTTTTTCTAAAAAAAAAGAACGCTTGTGTCACCCTGTGTTGAAGTTTAGTGACCATGAAAGACTGAAAACCTCCATCAGAGCCCTTTGACCCACAAGAGCTGCCTGGTCGCTCTCCTCTCCATTAAACTTCTGCTTTCAAATGGGAAACTGCAAAATCTATGTGACAAAAGGCAAAAGCACTTTGACCCAGACAGAAATGATTTGACTCACTTTGAGGATTAATGCTTAAGTTATTTTTTGATGTGGAACACATTTCCCCCCAAATCTTAGTTGAGAGACACTTGCATCAGGCTTCTAATCAGTTACTACTTTATTAATTTGGATTTTATTGTCATTTGGTGGCGTGGTTCTGCACATGTGACGAGGTAGAGCTTGAGGTGAACATGAACACATATTAAAGAAGCATCAGTGTAGCAGCGAGGATGCAGAACCCGGTGATCGAATGAGCACCAAATGTTATATACAGCGCCTCCATAACTATTGGCACCCCTGGTTAAGATGTGCTAAAAGCCTTAAAATAAATTCAATTTTTATTGTAGAAGCATACTCTCACACTGAAGATTGTAGAAAAATGTAACCTTCAACTCAACTCAGATGAATTGTTGGCAAAAGTGGGCTGTACAAAGTATTAACATCAAGGGTGCTAATAATTGTGGCACACATGATTTGATGTAAAAGAATTATTTTTTAATGTGGGATTTTTTTCACACTCAATAAATGCACTTGAATTAAAGATTGAATTTCCCCCCTTTTTTTTTTGTGGTTCTATATTATTTAGAAAAAAAAAGAATTTACTAGAAGTTAAAGAACACATCTTAACCAGGGCTGCTAATAATTATGGAGTGCGCTGTATATATATATAAATATATATGAACCACCTGTTGTGACAAACTGATTGCACTAAACATGTGAGTGTGAAATGGCTTAAATGTCTGAACTATGCAAAGAGTCCTATAATGATCAACGAGAACAGTGATTTCTAAATGGCATTGTGGTATTATAATAGTATTTCTTACACCAGGCTGTATTTCTCTGGTTACCAGGTGGTAATTTAAAATTGCTCCTCGATAAACAGAAATGTCATTATGGTTTGCTTGAACATTATACAACAGATTGTTTGGGAGTAAAAGAGATACACAAATATGATTACAAATTGTGTAATTGTCACGGTAGACTACAAAACAAGCCTCTCATTAACCAGAATGAGTTGTAACACCTTCGACCACCAGCAATGCTTGACAGCTTTTGAAACCTCAAGCAGAGAAATCAACATCCTACTGATGTCCAGGAGGATGTTAGCGGGTAAAACCATGTGTAATTAAAAAAAATCCCCACAACAAATCACTGCAAAAATATCAACATTACTGACTGAAACACCGCTGTGTAGGAGGAAGGGAAGCTTTTTCCCCTACAGTGTTGTGCATCTGTCTGCACATTCAGTTGTAGCGTGACATGTTTAAAGCACACATACAGTATCTGTAACACTGTTTATCCTGCTGTTGCTCATTTGCACATGTTCTACCTTTGGTTGTGTGTTTGCATGTATCAGTCTTCACTGCTAAATGCAATTATCCTCTGGCTGCCTCGCCTGTCTTGATCATTTCTTCACGTTCTAAATCTAGCACTAACCTTCATCACTTTGATTTTCACCTCTGTAACTGTGCACATTCACCAGCTGTCCTGACTGGCTGTCAGGTTCACGACTCAGGAGATGTTTCAATAAAAGCATGTTGAAAATACAGTGGAGAATCATAATCAGGTAGTAATGAGTCAAGAGTTGCAAAGAGTAGGTGTTATGACCCTGGCTTACATTTGTGTTGATGTTGCGTTTTTTTCCCCTCCTTCATCAAAGTGTGAGTGTGGTTGTGTATAATGTTGGAACAGGCGGGGTCTTATGAGTGGTCCGTTTCTGCCTCTGGATTGGTTCAGTGGATGACAGCAGGCTTTTTAAAACCCAGATGATATTCAACCATCCCTCCTCACCTCTACCACGCCCAACAACACTCAGAGATTCTGTTAGATGTTCTTAGCATGAAGCTCTGTTCATTTGAACATGACAATTTGCTAAAGAAGTTCAGGGCTGATGAGTGGCTCTTATTTTGGGCATTTCTAGGTTCTAAAGTTTTAATAAACTGCTGAACATTTATTCAAACAGTGCAACTGGCCTTTCTTGTGAGTGGGAAGCGAGGGAGAATGACATAGCATGGTATGTCCAGGATTCCCCTGGGAGGGAGACATGACATGAATTGAGGCTTGTCTGTTGGTTAAAATAGGGATGTTATTGATTAATTGTTAGTCAACTAATTGCTGTTGTTAATCTGATCAGTTAAAATGAAATCACAGATTAAAGCAGACATCGGACCTACAGCTTAACTGTCAGAAAATGTCGTGTATTTGCTGCAATCCCTGGTTGCTCCACCTGGTGGAGCTTCTTGCTGCATAATGAGATGGAGTTACAGGTGTGTTTGCTGGCTGCCCATAAAGGTTCGTGTAAAACAAGTGCACCTTTCTGCTATCTAACTGCTAACTGTCATGTCAATAAACTCATCAAATTCTGAAAATGGTGTCTGGTGGGGGTCTGGTTCAGTCAGCTACACGAGGCTCATTTTAATGCTAAACTAGGATTTTTAAAAGGTAACACAGGCCAAGAGCTGAGTGTCGGTCAGCAGAGAGCAGTTGGAACTGCAAACACTGCGTACGCTCAGGAGCAGCAGGACTCTGATTCCATGTTTCCAACAATGTTTAACTGATGTGATGAAATGTATTGGCGACGCTCTGCTCTGACTATAAATAGATTTTAGTTGTGGGAGTAAAGACTGACAGATTTCATGGACTGATAAAGTTGCTGCAACAGTATTTGTGGACATCTGTTCCGGCTGAGCAGCCGCTTCCAGGAGCTGGACTAATGTTAACTATAGCGAACAAGTCACTCCACCATGTAGATCAGATATGAGGGTTATTTTGATATAAATCTATTATGATTCACGTCTGTTGTGAAGAGACTAATAAAACTAAAGGTTATTTACTGTGGAACGCGGCAGCTTGTTTGTCATGTAATCTGGCGTTTATTTGATCTGTTCTTCACAGTTCTAATGTAAACCAGTTTCTGTGGCAAACATTACGTGTCTGTGGATAAAAATGGTTTTAATTCGGTTAAGGAAAATGTACATCCTTAAATTAGAGTGCAGACAAACTAAATGTAGAATGTAAATGTAGAAAAGCTGATTTGATATATTGATCTTTACTAATGGTTGTGATGTGCATCTGGCATTAAATGGAAAAAATGAGTTCAAAGATCTCCTGTTTGAAAGGCTGTGAGTGAAAGGGGTTTGTTGGACGAGGCGGCTCTTACAGGCGGAGCTGAGCTGGGTGATCTGGCTGGTATTCCTGCGAGGGACATAACACCTGCTTCGTAAAGTTGTGTTTTCCTTTCAGAAGTATTTGCTGTTCATGTTTTACACTTTCTCCAACAAAGTTTTTATGTCTGCGGTTCAAGTACAGACCAGAGTCCCACAGTGCAGGCAGAAGACAGAGCTAGCAGCTGCTCAGCAACAAGACAGAGGAGGGGGAGGAACCAGAGGGAAAATAGGACTTTGCTTTTCTAGGTGAAGTTGCCTCCTAAAGGCTGGTAAATACACCAAAGATCACAATTTTTTGATGCTATAAACAACACGAAGAAATGTTTTATTAGTTATTCAGTTTGAAAAGCTTCATCTACAGTCAACACGTAAACTGCTTAAGTTTCAGCTTGTGCTGATTAATGTTACTGAGAGGGAGAAAATATAAGAAAGCAAACTGATTAATTTAGCTGCTGCTGGAGGCAGAGATTAATATTTAGACATGGCGGTGGTTACCACACTGTTAATGAAGATACATGACATCCACAGTGATTGCAATTCTGACATTGTTCTGCATTAGATCTACTGTATATAAATGCAACCTGCACTGTATTGTCACTTCTATGTACATGAAGTCTATCTCACACAGATGTAATAATAACCACTTAACTCTGTGCAATACCCAGCTACCACTCTGCTATTGCAATTGTTTTTTTAAATTGTTTTTTAAATTGTGTTATATAGGGTTGTACAAAGGGTTAAATTATATTTCTTGTGTGTCTAATAGTGTATATTGCTGGTGCATCTCAGGAGCAGCTCTTTAAATTGCATTGTACTTGTATAATGACAATAAGGACTTTCTATTCTATTCTATTCTATTCTATTCTATTCTATTCTATTGCACAAACTAAATAAAAAAAAGCTTTTTACAGCACTTAAGATGCTTTCAGCCTTCTGCAAGTGGGTAGACAGCACTCATTAATGTAGAATAATCTCAAAGAACATCCTAAGTTACAATGCTTTGGGGTAACAACTCTTGCCTTTCAGGAGGTTCATAGTATGGATTTCACTATCATCACAGCCTTGAGATACTTTTGGGAAACTGGGGTTTTTTTTTGAGATGTGACAAATTGATTTTCAAAACACTCAGCTGCTACACACCACTAACTTGAAAATCGCACTGTGGTGATTTCACTGCGCTCCAATTCAGGCTCATTCATTCTGAACAGAGAATCTGAAACACTGACTTCTTGGATTTTTGTCGAGGGCTCACCAAGCCTGCAAAAACACACGGGACTAAAATTGAGAGTTGGTGGCTCCTTATTGTAGTTTCATTGAACATGTTTGAACTTTGACTTCAAGGTACAGTGAGGAGGACACATAAACTGGCAATATTTCAGCAGCTTTGAACATAGATGAATGAACTTTTGCACCAGTAAATTCAGACAAAGCTCTGGGAGCAAATGAAATCTTATCATCAGGCATTTGGTTCTGCTCATCCTGAAGCTGCTGCTCCGCTGTACCTCGATACTCCATTACCTGTATGGCTGTGTATTTCTTATCACTGCTGAACTCCATGACCGTAAAAACTAAAGTGCAGACACACTGTCGTTGATCATATCAAATTCAGCTCAGCAGATACGGAGAACTGATTTTCTAGCAGGAGTTGAAAGAAAAATGGAAAGTACAACCATTTAGAACAATTTCTGTGACTGCTTCGCTTGTAAGAGTTCCGCGCTCTTAACAGCCCATGTTCTCAACCTGAACACACCGTCCCTTGAAGGCACTCAAGTACTGCACTTAAGTACAATTTCAAGCTATTTGTACTTTATTGCAGTAGCCCCATTATATTCCACTTCATAGCGAAACTTTATATTTCACCGTATTTATGTGTCAATTATTACTTACTTATTATTACAAAACATATTAAAAATAATTCTAAAATGTGATAAATTTTATTAAATTAAACCACCTAAAGTAGTTTTAACTTCATTGTGAATAGCTACATTAAATAATAATAACAATTAACACTAAAACACTGGTTGCACGCTCGTTTGATAGTAATAATTATTGATAAATCATTTTGAAGAAGCTTTTTTTTTGCTTAATGACCACCATTTCATGTTTGGCGTCCAGCAGTAAAGGGCTTAACACTCGTCATCTCTCCTTTAATTAAACAAATTAAACACGTTTATAGGATTTGGCACCATTTATGCATAATATAAACTTGAATAATAATGGTAATATAAAGTATTCAGATCATAGCTTTTGATAAAGTGGACCCTGCATAGGACTTGGGGAAACCTTTGGTGACTGATACTCCCATACATTTACTAAAGTAAAATTACCTGATATAATGTGGTATTGCTGATTTTACTTCATTAATATCGTCTGTCAATCAGTTCTCTCCAATCCTCCTAACCTGTCGGTGGCTTTCAGCACCGAGCCCACTGGTTTTGAGGGTGCTAATCTTTAAAAATGGGTTACAAGTTGCCCCACACCACCATATATGTTATTTTTAAAAAGGCTCAGTCATTTCCCAAAACAGCTGCCTTCTATAGTTTATAGCAAATGTTACTCAGCCAAGTGGAAATAGTGCACTTATTGGGGACTATTTTCAGTCACGGATTAACCCGCATTTGGTGCTTTAGTGAGTATTTGGGGCAGCAGAAAGGTGTGTGTGGGACTGATTAAAATAAACTACAGGGCCCATGTTCAAGTTAAAGGAAAAACATCTCATCCAGTGCAGTGGTGTGGCTCACTGGTTTGTTTTTAATAGGTTCTCGACAACAATGGAGCTCTGTGGCACAGAGGAGGACAATATATTAGGATTTGGATACACAGAGACAATCCTTGTTAGTGGGATCAAAGCGTTGTTGGTTTTGGTTACCACAAGTAGAATGTGTGACAGAGCCTTCAGCTATCAGGCTCCTCTGTTGTGGAATCAGCTCCCCGTTTGGATTAGACTTTAAACTTTCCTCTTCGATAAAGCTTATAGTTAGAGCGGGCATGGGTGAACCTGAACCATCCCTTAGTTCTGCTGCTGTAGGTTCAGACTGATGCAATGAGCACCTCTCCTCTACTTTCCACTTTCTGTCTCCATACATTTATATACCAGCACTGCACGTCGCTAACTTTGTGTCTTCTCTCTCTTGTGGTTTGTGTTTTGTTCTCTCTGCAGGTATCTCTGGTTCTGGAGCTACGTGTTTCTGATCTACGGTTACTGGCCTCACTGACCTTTCCAGTGTTAATTGTTGTTGTTTGTCTGTTTTCCATCTGCTATCCTGTTCTCTCCTCTCGTAACCCTCACCCCAACCTGTCAAGGCAAATGGCCGCCCTCCTTGAGCCTGGTTCTGCTGGAGGTTTTTTCCTTCCTGGTAAAAAGGAGTGTATTCTCTACACTGTTACCAAGGAGTGCTCAAAGGGAATCTCACTGAAACTTTTGTTTTGTTGGGTTTTTCTCTGTTTGTATTTTGTACGGTCTTCACTTTACTATGTGAAGTGCATTGAGATGACATATAGCGCCCTCCACAATTATTGGCACCCCTGGTTAAGATGTAGCTTCTAGTAAATTCCGTTTTTTTCTAAATAATATAGGACGACAATTAAAAAAAAGAGGAAAATTCAACCTTTAATTCAAGTGCATTTATTGAGTGTGAAAAAAATCCCACATTAAAAACTAATTATTTTACATCAAATCATGTGTGCCACAATTATCAGCACCCTTGATGTTAATACTTTGTACAGCCCCCTTCTGCCAACAATTCATCTGAGTTGAGTTGAAGGTTACATTTTTTCTACAATTTTCAGTGTGAGAGTATGATTGAATTTATTTTAAGGCTTTTAACACATCTTAACCAGGGGTGCCAATGATTATGGAGGGCGCTGTATGTTGTGAATCTGCTGTTGTGAATGTACAGTCGTCCTCAAATATATTCATACCCTCCCATTAAAGACGGAAAAAAAACGCAGTAACTGAAATAAGTTAAAATTGACAAACGTAATGATAAATAAAAATGTAATAAAAATCATGACATTGCCTTTGAATTGTGGTTCAACAGAAATATTTATAAATAAATGAACAACCCTTTGAGCCAGTCACTGCAATCAAGTGTTCTCTGTATCTCTCAATCAGACTTCTGAACCTGTTGACTGGTATTTTGATTTTGGCCCACTGCTCATCAGCAAAGTGCTCTAATTTGTCTGGGACAGTTTAAAAAAAAAATAAAAAATTCTAATTATTCTTTTCAACCATTGACTAGTGACTATTGTGAATTTTGCCGTTTCTTTAATAGACGGGTATAAATACATTTGAGGACGACTGTAAATTAAATTAAACTGAATTCTCTTTTCAATGAATTTGTTGACATTCGGTAATATTATTGGATTCGCCTCAATCTGGACAATCTAAATACTGTCATTTCTTTAGGGTGAGTCTTCACAACTTTCCCTGGTGTATTGGGTATATTCCACCTTGACTTTGTGACTCTCTGGAGACCATCTGGACACAGCTGCAGAAGAGAAAGTGTTCACACAGCTCTTGGGTATCCTCTTTGACCCAGAATGGAGGTTTCCTTTCATCTCCACTTTAATCCTGAAACTGTGGACCCAGCAGCTGTGGACACATTCCTCCCTCTGACCTGTTATGTAGGTCTCATCTCTGTTATCTCTGACCTGGAAGAGACCTGGAATGTGTGTCTCTGTAGCTGTATGTGAGCGTGTATATATATATGTGTGTGTGTGTGTGTGTGTGTCCAGCTGCAGCTCACCGTCGTCACTGAAGTCATCCACCAGAATGATCTCATGGATGAGGTGGACTGGAGTCCTGTTTAAAACGCTGCAGAGAAAGACAAAAGAAGTCTGAAATTTGCACATACACAAGTAAACACCCTAAGTAAATGGATAAATGTATGTGCAATGTACAGAACGCTGACAAGTAAATGCCAGCCTGCAAACACACACATGGACACACACACACACACATGGACACACACACACATAGTTCCAGGTGCTCATGAATCCATTATGTACGCGTTGCACGCCATAAGAAGCAACATATTGAAAATGTCAGCCCAAATTCCTGTTATGAAAATGTATGACGTGTCGCCTCTAAAAAACTATTTCATTAAAGAGGAAGATTGAAACATAAAAAATTCATAACTTTTACAGAGGGAAAATGAGAAAATGTGTTTTGTTCTGGGTGGGTTTCTGCTCGATTTTATTTCATTATTTCTAGTGTTCAATAACCTCAGTGTTCATCATCCCCTCTGGATAAGGCCGAGGAGAGGAGGATGAAGGAGAGAAGAGAGGAGGAGGGATGGAAACAGGAAAGAAAGGGGGAAAAAATATGGGATGAAGAAGAGAACAGACAAGTGATTGGAATGGGAAGAAAGAGACGATGAGGTGGAGGAAAGGAGGAAGAGAGAAGTGAAAGAGAGGAAATGGATGAGATTATGGATGAGAAAAGAAATATGGAGAGAATAAAATAGGGTGAAAGAAAGAAAGTGGAAGGAAAAACGCTAAATAAAAGAGGAGAGCAAGTGAGGACAGAGGAAAATAAGAGAAGAACGACAAGAAGAGAAAGACTGTGTTTTCCCAGGACGGATTAAAGGGAATGAAGGAGAATAAAGAAACAGGGAGGAGACGGCATGTGATGAAGGGAGGAAGATAATGTGGAAAGATAGGAGAGAGTGAAGACATGAGAAGGAGGGAAAAAAATGGAGATATAGGGAGAGAAGGAAGAAGAGAAGAAAGAGGATAAACAGGGATAGAAACACAGGAGGATAGACAAGATTAAAATACAGTTGGATGTAGAATAAAAGAGTACATGAATGAGATCAGAAATAAAAGTGTGTTAGAAATAGAAAGATGGAGAGAAAAAATAAAAGAAAAAGGAAAGGAGAAGAAAAAGAGAACCAAGAGTCGAGGAGGAAAGAAAGTGGAAGAGATGAAGGAGTTGGTTAGCTGAGTGAGACTGGAGGTACGGAGTGTGGAGAAAGTTGGGAAGCGAGCGAAGGGATGAACAGAGGGGAGGCTGATAATGTAAGAGGAGGAGGTGTGGAGCGAACCCGTGAGTCTCTGAGGCACCGGACCCCATCAGGAGAAGTGATGGATGCTTGGAGGGGAGGAGGAGGTGGAGGGAGGGAGGAGGAGAGGTGGGGCGAGATGAAAGAGTGAGGGACAATAAAGGAGGGGACAGAGAGAGAGAGAGAGAGAGAGAGATGGCAGGCTTGTAAGGGAGACGAATAACCCTGATTGTAACTCTCCCCCCCGTCTCTCTGTGGAACTGAGGGCCGATCAGGAGAGATGGATGAACGGATTGATGGATGAGATGGAGGAAGGGGGAGGAGGGAGGAAAGGGGGCGAGGAGGGAGAGGAGGTAGGGTTGTGGGGCAATCGAATGAGTGATAGAGGGAGAGCAGGGTGGAATAAAGATGGAGGGAGAGGCAAAAATCTAACGAAAATAGTGTATTTATCTCATTAGTTCGCATTAAATCCTCCGCTCAATGAATCTATCTACCTACCTATCTATCTGTGCTACAGTGAGGCCGACAGGCACGGATGAATGGACGCAAATCTCTTTTCTTTCTTCCTCTCCACCTTCTCTTCTCTCTTTCACAACCTCCCCTCCCTCACACACACACACACACACACTCACATGCACACACACACACTCACATGCACACACACACACTCACATGCACACACACACATGCACAGGAGTTCCCATTCTCTGGTTCACAGGCCACTAGCTATGAGGCTTAACCTCCCCTCAGGCGTGCTGAGGGAGAAGCTATCTTCAGCTCACAGAAAATATTATCACCGCTGACAATACCGCAGTCGGCTGCCACAGAATAGCAGCTCTATATCTGCACCGCTCATTTCCGACACTCTATATATCAATTTTAGGGGGGAATTTTTTGAAAAATTTTCATTACCTACAGCTGCCATTTGGAGGGTGCTTTCATCCAAAGTGCCTCGAGAGCGTGCATTTTTAGAGCTGAATGTGTGGCCCCGGTGGGAATTTAACCCCACTCTCTGGCAGTGGTAGCGCCGACGCTAAATGGGTGCTGCTGCACGACGGCCAGGGCGAGGGGTTCAGTTCCCACGAGAGTCGCCCGTGCTCAGCGTGTGTGCAGTCAGAGTGGAGGGAGGCAGTTTTGGATGGAGGCGATAAAAGCTTCTGCCAAAATGTTTCTGAAAAGAACTAAATGAAAAACAAAATAGGTAATGTCACACCAGGGTGTTGGCCACGTCGAAGGTCTTTGATAGCAAACCAGGAAACATGATGATGTTATCAAATGTACAACGACACGATTGCAAATGGTATTAATTTGGTGAAAAACTGGACAAGTTTGAATTAGAGTGACAAGTTTCCGCATCGCTTGTAGATATCAGTCTTTCTCAGATCATACAACACTAAGACAACACTTTACTAAGTGTTTTTTCTGTGTCCCCAAAGCCATTTCTAGCTTCAGCTGGTAAACCATATATTTCATCTCTCTTTGTACACTCAAAACTCGCCGCTGCGCCTCCATGAAGGCGGCAGATGTCTTTTCTGAACATGTGACGCAGCCACAGAACCTCTATTACAGGTTTCAGATTGTCTTGCCTCTCTGCTGCCCAGGATTTATGGATTTTATTTACACCTGAGAAGTGATGCTTTCAACCCTTTGGAGCTAGATTTCTTCTGCTCAGTTGGTTACAGTAAAAAACACACTGCCACTCTGTCCTTCATGTGAATGGGCTATTTGTTGTACAGATGGAGAATTGTTTTTCCACCGCCTCCATTTTCCACAGGTGATGAGTCAAATTAGTTTCGACTATTTATGTGGTGTTTGACGTTGCTCTGGGTAAAATTTTGTTACCCTTTTACCCTCTCTCCTTTTCTCCCTTCCCCTGCCTCAGCTCAGTTCCCTTTTTCTTCCCCTCTCTCTCTGCCTGATTGGTTAGCTGACAGCCAGTTCTTCCATCCTCTACCTTGCTGGAGTAATTCATCACTTGCTTCTCTCCACCTCTGCATCTACCACTCTTTCCATTCATCCACATCCCGCCACCTTTCTCCAACCTATTTCTCTATCGAGACCACTGACAGCAATGGAAAAAATTTCATTACAGAATTAAATGTCCACCATTTGAAATATAAAATGCCTCATTTATTGTTGTATGTTATTCAGATGAAATTACTTTCTAGATCAACACATTTTAAAAAAAATACGTAGCAGTAAAGTCGAAGAACACAGACTTCCTTTTTGAAAGTGTAAACGTCACCTTTTTCACTGCATCTTAAATCTGTCTTGCCCTGATAGAAAGCCTTTCCCAGCAGATCTGTGGAAACTGTTCTTGGAAAGAAATCCTGATTCAGCCACTCAATGTTCTGTTCTGTCTAACCACCAGTGATGCATTATGCTATATATCTGCACCCAGTAAATACTGTCTCATCACTGCTGATCTACTGAGCCATACGTCTGCATCTATCAGCCTCAGTCTGGAATCAAAGGGCTACTTTGTCCACATTAAATATAGTCGTGTCCCTGCTAATCTGTAAAGATCTATATCTGTACTCGCTAATTACTTTTCTCATGACTGTTTATTTAGTAGATGCTGTTTGTGTAACTCATCAGTGTTAATCGAATGGAAGAGAAATTACAGATGATCTGTAATGCTCCATATCAGTGTCCTGTAAATGCTGACTACTCCTGATAAATACGCAGTAATTACAGCTGATAGACGATTAATTTAGATTAGTATTTAGAAAATGCTCTCTGATCAGTAATGATAAATGCTATCTGATTAGCATATAAAACTGTATTTTGAAGATTTTTTTGGGCAAGACCATAGACTTGAGCCCACAGATAAAGGTTTAGATAGGATTGGAATAGAAGCAGACAACAGAAGACTTTAATAAAACAGTGAAGCCGCAGTAAAAAGCCCAAACTATAAATCGACCTCATCCTAATAAATCCTGAGTGATCAGTGGTAGAGGAAGTGATCAGGACTCTTTACTGTGCGTTTTTTAGGAGTACTGAATCAGAAAGTGCTGAGCTGGTGCTGATCTAGAAGTGGCATTTCTACACTCCCAATAACTGCTGGCTGCTGAGCGGAGCAAGATGGTTGCTTGGCTGGATTACAGATTGACTGATGGACCAAGCGGGTAATTAGATGGCTAAATGAGGTTTATTTTCAAGCCATTTTTAAGCCTGACCTCATCCATATTACCCACCACAGAAAAAAAATCTAAACCAAGACATGGTTTCTGGATTGAGGTTTTTTTTCTTCTCTTGTCTTGTTTTTTCTCAGAACATAATTGCATTTCTGCTATGTTATAGAAAAAGAGACAACAAAAGAGTCTGCACACAGTTAAGTACTTCAAAGGATAATGTGATTTCAAACTGTGAACTGACCCTTTCCATCTACTGGTAAACAGCACTGTAGTGGTTCTACGTGGCAGCTATTGACAATTAGAACTGACATGAAGACAGAGTGTAGTTACACACACATCATATGGAGGTGTAAGACCAGTAGAAAGCAGCTCGGTTCAAAGAGTAATACCTGCATAGTTCAGCTACAAAAATATTAAATGTATTGGACAATATTTCACTCCCAGTTAGATCTTCATCAGGTCAAAATGTTCGGAAATGGTGACAATTCAGTCTCTCTCTACATACATACATATGACCCTATACATATATATTTATGTGATGGGTGTTGTTATCCATCCAACTCACCACAGGCAATTAATCTAGTGGCACTAGAGCGACACTGAGCTTTTACCACTGTAGGAACATGAGAGTTGTTTTCCGGTGGCCCAAACCCCTAAAAAGCTCTTTCAGGGAC